GGTTAAATAAGAGTGTATCATACGATGGAGAGTGGAAACAAAGTCACTTTCATTGCAGTCATCTACAATCTACATTGTTCTGTTAAGTACTGAATCAGATTTAATTCAGAAGCAGAAGCCATCACGGCTGTGGTCGTATTTACCAGCAGCTGAGCCCGTCCGGCGCGGCTCAGCAGAAAGGTTTTGTCTGCATCGCTTTGGACTCCCGTCTTCCCTGGCCGCTGAGTCCATACTATCGCCGCTCTCGGCCACCCATTCCACCACTGTGGGCCTCTCTGAGCCAGGTGGTCTTACCGCCCGGCGGATCATCAAGGATAGGCGGCGAACATTAGCGTCGCCACGGGGGGGCAAGCGGGGCATCTTGCCCCCCCAACCTCGGACCGGGCACCCCCTGAGATCGATACAGATCCGATGAGATTTTAGAGTCGGGAAAAAATGGGGGTACCTTTCTGAGAATGCCTGTGAGGTCAGACTCGGTTGCAGCAAGCAGTTCAAACCAGAGTCTGACTCGCAGTCGCCAAAATCTTCAAGACTCCGAGTCCAGACTTGGAAATGTCAATGCTGTGATTCATTACATGTTCGTAGTTCGTTCTTTATTACATTTTACAGCTGATTTTCATAAGTTTTGGAGTGCTGACACAATTTTCGTTCAAAGCGTGAAACGAAATCTTCGGGGCCTTTCTCAACTCTCATCAAATGTCTGCGACAGGTTCAAGTACCGTACAAGTGTCGCAGGGCTCATGAGCTTGCTCTAAACAAAGGCTCCTAAGGAGCTCCACTGAGCCCTAAAGAAGCCTTCAGAGGGCCCAAACCGGCCTCTGAAAGTCCCACTGGTGTCCATGTTCTCTGAGGGCCCATACATGGATATTTGAGCCTTCGAACATTTCTGAGAACCTTAACTGGCCTCTGATAGTTCAGCCAAACTTTTGAGGCGACAGACTTTGCTAACCCCAAGCCGGCATCTGAGGGGTCACAGCTCAAGTGTCCCTCTGAGTTCCGCAACACATGTTTACTATGTCCCTACGTAGGGTCCTTAGGGATTCGACACAGACCCCAAGGGTTCACACTGTTATCCGAGGGCTCCAGGCTCACCCTGGGCCTAGTCTCTTAGCGCCCGCCGCCCACACTGGCTTCTGAGGGCCCCACCTTGGGCTCGGAAAGTCCTAAAGCACCACGTACACGTAAATATTCGAGGTGACTCACGCCGATCTCCGGGATCCTAAGCATGCTTCTGAGAGTCAGCACTGACCCTGAGTGGCCTGAAATGGCCTGGAAGTCCCAAACCTATCTCTAAGGGATCCCTTGCCGCTATGCCGTGCGTAACTTTTGGTTCCGTTTAACAGTTTCTGTTCGCGTTTGCAGCGCTTCCCTTCACACGAAAAACGAGAAACTTTTGTTCACACTTGAGTGAACAAAACACTTCCTCTCACTGGAGCAAAGATGAATAACTTCCGATTCACACTTCCGACATTCACTCTCCGCCGAATGCCCAACTTAGCTACGATCGGCGGCTGGGATAAGTCCTATGCATTTCACGTAAAACCTCTGCATGCATGCGTGAATGGAGGTTTTAGCAGGGTGATCCGATTAAATGGAGCGTTTTTCACCGTTTCTGGGTAATGATCATGAGCGTCGAGCATCTGCACAGGGGCCCTCTGCAGTGCGTCGGCAATCGCAGCCACTATATACTATAATTCTACCAGTCGTTTTTGTCATGAAATTTCAAAATTTCGAATTTTTCTGTAAAAAAAATTACATGTCATAGCTAGAAGGAAACCTTTGTCACCATCGGATTCCTCGCACCATTGCGCGTCGAATGATATGTAAAACGAGTGAGTAAAGACTGGGGAAAGGCAAGTTTTAACACAAAAGTTGATTTTGCCCCCCCAACCGAAAATCTCTGGCGACGCCTATGGCGGCGAACCACAGACAAATCCGACCACTGAGCCCGAGCGACAAGTGGTGTCTTGCCTGCAGCGTTTGGACGGTCCAACCTGCCGCTACAGACCAGTGACCACCCTGTCGCTATGTAGATTATTAGATTACAGCACTATGAGGGCGAGGTGGGGTGGGATATTTGGTCGTTATATAACGAACCGCACACTAAATTTATGAACTTCTAATTATATAAAAGAAAACGAGAACTGGATACATTAGGACCGTTTCGAGCCACGCTTAAAACGGTAGTTAGGATAATAAGCGATTCTACTTGGCAGAATGGTCCCAATTGTCCAGTTATTGCTGATATAAGGCGCGCCTGTCAGCCGTCCAAATGCAGCTCCCCTCCGCATCACAAAACTGTCTTACGACCCGCTGCTCCGTTCCTCCACCCGCATTCAAAGCTCACCGACCACCGTCCCCTTCCCCTCAGACGGGCTCCACCAGCGCCGAGCAGTGCACCAACCCGTGTAACGACGGCGGCGGCGACAGCAAGTGCGACGCCAACGCGCTCTGCCTGATCGACCTCGCCGTCAACTCGTTCCGCTGCGAGTGCAAGCTGGGCTTCCGCGGCGACGGCTACAACTGCACCGACCGCTGCGACGGCTTCTGTGACAACGCCGGCGTGTGCAGCAAGAACCAGCGTACTGGCGACCCAGAGTGCGCCTGCACCGGATCATTCACCGGTGAGCGGGCGGGCCCTGAGGGAAACTCGGAGATTCAGGGGCTCGGGAATGTAACTTGCATTCCCTTGGCTTATTTTGAAGTTGAACCAGCTAAACCTAATGCCCAGCTTGCCTTAGCTCCCAATCATTTCGTCCGTCGCACCTCGAGCTGCCTTCATCCCCGACGGCACTGAGCCCTTATCTGACACCTAACTCGTCTTCTCCTCCTCTCAGGTGATCGGTGTGCCGAGAAGTCGCAGTTCGCGTACATCGCCAGCGGCGTGGCCGGCCTGGTCCTGCTGGCCATCATTTGCGTCCTCTTCGTCTGGATGATCTGCGCGCGCGCCAACCGCAAGAACAAACAGCAGGAGGCCGTGCAGAAGGCCATGACGGCGCCGCCGGACGCCGCCTCGCAGGTGGGAGAGGAAAGAATGGATTCCGATCTCCGGTGGGACCGAGCCGCTACTATGGTGCTCAGAGGGGATTCTACTTCGATCGCTATTCTGGTTTTTTGAAGGAATTCTGACAGCGCAATGAGCGTCTCATTTGCCCTCATTTTCCACGTTGAGTATCCCAGACAAGCGACGAGCACATATTGGCTTCGCAACGTAAAACAGGATTTCAGAGGGGGTGGCAGTGGATTCAACGAACGATTCGCCGGACGTCCCTTGCTTCAGCCGGTGCCCTAGTCTCCAACATCCACTGACTGGGCTGCCCTCCTGTGTCGACCAGGTGAACTTCTACTACGGCGCCCCGACCCCGTACGCCGAGAGTATCGCTCCGTCGCACCACTCCAACTACGCGCACTACTATGACGAGGAGGACGAGGCCTGGGAGATGCCCAACTTCTACAACGAGGCCTTCGTCAGAGGTCAGTGAATGCAACGGTGGCGGCAACAAAACTAACAAAAGGTTGCGAGTTGAGAGCCAGGGCACATTGCTATTTCCTCCAACGGCTCATACCCATCGCTTCCACAAGTACAGGGAAATAACTTACAAAATGTCTGGCCGAAAAGATGCGCCTCAATCGGTCTGTGATATTGCCTTGTGAATTCTAGAGTTGCATTCGAATACAAGCTACATAAAACTATGACAGCACGCCACTGTCAGTCATAAATTCCCTAAGAATCAGTAGCCAACTGACCAACCCCTTTTCCCTCTCAGATAACGGCACGATGGGCGGCGCTGGCACCCTGTCCCGGCCACAGTCCGGCGTGCCGAGCATGTACGGCATGCCGCCACCCAAACAGGAGGAGCTGTACGACCGGCTGAGGAAACACGCCTACACCGGACGGAGGGGTAAGTACTGAGTACGGGAACAGCGATACACGACGAAGAGGGAACACATTGACGGAAAGATGGGAGTGAATGACACTGTATTTAGAGAGACGGAGAAGAGGGCGGACCTACGATGGCCTTGGAGTGGGACCAAGTGATACGAATCACGCATCACGCTTGTGTGCCGTCTTCACCCTCGGTACTTGCGAACGCAACAAACGCCATCAGTGACAATAACACCCACAAATCGTTCTGACGTCTCGTTTCTTCCCCTCAGACGACGGAGTGGAAAGCCAGGAAGACCAGCCTCTGTAGGCTGCTATCTGCCGGTTACGTCTCAAACTATAACTGCCCGCGCAGCCGCCAGAGCGGCGGTGGCCCGCGGCAGCATCGTTCGGGAGGCGCCAGTCACCCCCACCGTCGCAGACCGCCGCTCAGAAACGCGGGAATCGCGCCGCTGGCGCCAGACATTGTGTGCCGGCGTAAAGGGGAGGCGTCTGATTACCACATACTTCTGAGAGCATAGAAAAGTGCCTCATGGGCGCTAATCTGTGTTGCGAACATGAAAGCGCCGCGCGGAAGCTGATATTGTGTGCTGAGTGCAAGTGTGGTGCCTCACGGGCGCTTAAACTGAACGCAATGCCTCCCAGCATCCGTTGAACTTCATGTTTAGTGCTGCAGCAGCTGATGAGTGCTTACTTGCGAGTGATTTTGTGAGAAGTGTATGGGTACGAGCATGTGGCCTTGTGCGATCGGGAGCGCTAGTGTGCGACTGCGTGTTAGACTGTGTGCGAGAGGGGGTCCGCCGATTCAGAGGCGGATGTCACAGAGCCTATATATCAGTCGGGCCGGCAACTAGCCGCCGCTCGGCACAGCTGGAGCTTACTGCTCGTGTATAGTGAGGACATTATCACTGGTGTGTAGTGTGAGCAGAAACCCGTATGTTGGAGCGTCCGACCGCCGTCGATACAGAACCCACGGCAAGAAGTATTGCAGCTACATGCCTCCATCGTTTCACTCCAGGGCTAGCAAACACCAAGCGACTCCATAAGAACTACTTCTATCTGGGGATGAAGAAATGCCTGCTCACTTCTCACCAACCAACAAACAGCGGCAGCATCTGATTGGACTGACCGTGTATTGGACGGTCATCACAGCGGATGGGGGCGGCGACGGCGGCGGGTCGGAGAGGATGTGGCCGTTCAGGGGAAGTGGGCGGCGTCCTTCTGGTGGAGCTCCAACAGCCGGTCCTCGATCACAGGGTCCGGGAACCGCGCCACAAACGACTGGATCAGACCCCCGGCAGACGGCTCGTACTGGTGCAGCGCCACGTCGTCCCCTGGGGTGAAGGACAGACGGTCAGACGCGACGACAGAGGGGACATGGGGGGAAGAAGGGGTAAGAAGTCAGGCGGTTAAATACTAGGTCGAAGGGCACAGAGTGGGTGATATAAGCCCGGGAGTCGGACGGTCAGATACGGGGTCAGCTGCAGATGGGAACGGAGGGGACAGAGGATCAGTGCATATCGTGGAATGATGTCCCGGTGATGAAGGTCGATTACATATTGTACGGAAATGGAGGCGAGGAACATGAGCGAGAATAAAATGCTAAGCGTGTAGCATAGTCTGTTTGATGATGATCGCAGATGTCGAAAAAAGCAAGAAAAACAGCAACATTACTAAAATAGTGGTAAAATAATACAACAAACAGTGTCTCAGTGGGAAAGGTCGAAAACGAAATGCACAGTACAACTCCCACATCCCGGAGACGCACCTTTGAGCTCTGTGTGCGCCTGCACGAGGAAGCGGCGCGGCTGCTTCTTCTCCAGGATGATGGGTATCCAGTTGGCGAACGGGTGCGGCCCGCTCTCTGGCACCTCCGAGTAGTGGTCGAACATGGCGCGCGCCGCCGGAACGTCCGCCGTCGCCTTGTACACCTGGTGACGGGTTGGTGGGTAAAGTGTTAGTCAGGGACGGTCCGGCCATCCGGAGCTGCACTTCTGGCAACGGATGGTTGGGGATATAAGAAAAGCGCGAACAGGCGACCCTGAGTTCGAGGAAACTACTCGCAACCGTAAGTGGCAGACTCTCAAGCGCAGAACTACTCCCACGGCAATACTTCGGATGGCCATATCCCAGAGTCGAGTAGCAACCAAAAACCCTCCCGTTTCGATGACATGAATTGCTTTGAGTAAGTAATCTAATGATTCAGAGCTGCCGACTTTGTCACCTGGAGTTTGCGCAGGAAGTCGCCGATGGCCTTTTTGCCGGAGGTGTAGATTTTCTCCTTGTCGACGGTCATCAGCAGGTCGGGCTTGCCGTCGGCGTCCTTGACCTCTTTGATGTCAACGACGCCCTCGCCGTGCTCCAACAGAACCCGCAGGATCACGTACCGCGCTCTGCTGTGTGCCTGTGGGGGGTCAGAGGAACAGTCAGGGCACCGTACTGCACCTCCGCGACTTGTCGTAGACCATTCATACAACGGTACCGCACGCATACATTACACTCGTGTATGCCTAGGTGGAGTAAGTGATAGAAAACTTTAACAATACACTTTAATCAGAGATCGGGGGAGGGACGGGGAGGTGGCAACAGCATGAGGTTAGCCTAACATGAGGTTAACCATCATCCCATGATATTTTGACCCTCCATCCGACCCGCCCCTCCCATCTGACCTGCATGAACCGTCCAGTGGCCGCATCGTACTGTTCCAGACACTTGGCGAAGCCGTCCCACAGGTTATCCACCCAGTTGACGTACGTCACCAGCCGTCCGTGTTCGCCCCGACAGTCAAACAGCCTGCCGACGGGGCCAGTCACAGCGCCGCGCCGGCAACCAGGGACCCCGCCCTCCCACCGGCCGGCCCGACCTGACCCGGCCTGCCTACCTGCATGAACTTTTTGGTCTCTGTGGAGTACATCTCGAGCGCCTTGGCCAGCCCGTTGTAGAGCAGGCTGAGCCAGTTGACGTAGACGAGCGTGGGCCGCAGCGACTCGGCCACCGAAAAGATGCTGCCGGCCGGACCGGGCGCCAGGTCAGGTCGGGTCAGGTCAGGTCAGGTCAGACCAGGTCAGGTCGGGTCAAGTCAGACCAGGCCGGCCGGAGCACTTATTTCCATCAGGCAGCAATAAATACAGTGAGGCTTAGTAGGAAAACCTGCATAAAATGCAACTTGCAGTTTACACTACATAGAACAAACGCTAGTAGCGTTGATGTTAAAAGCATTACATCACTCTCAACCAGTCACACCTAATCAAAGGAGCGAGTTCATTGACCGGTGTTTAACCAGTCAACCAGTCGAGTGTCCTAGTCCAGTGTGTACATAAGTGTGCGTGACACCGAGGGAGAGTGGACGCGTACTCACTCCATGACATCCTCCTCTAGGGAGAGGTACAGTCCGACACACTCTGCGCGGCACTCCTCGTATGACGAGCCCAGGTCGGTAAACATACTATCGTACGTCTCGCCCGGCGAGTAGCAGCTCGAGATCTGGGGAGAAGAGGAAGAAGCACGGTGAAGAGTGAATTAATAGGCCGACATAGCGAATAAACTACATTGAAGATTCGCATTAAAGAATGGCGATAAGAGCCCAAGTAGGGTAGGGTAGGGTAGGGTAGGGGTTGGGGTAGGGTAGGGTAGGGTAGGGTATGGTATGGTAGGGTAGGGTAGGTTAGGGTAGTGTAGGGATAGGGGTAGGGTAGGGTAGGGTTGAATTAAGTAACATCCTAATCTTACAAAGGGCTCGAACAACTCGCATGCATCACCATCATACTTTACAGTTCAATTAAAAGCAGTTACCCAAATCTACCCAAATAATACAGCTAAAAATACAAGTCAATCACCCAAACTCATGCACCCGTAACATAACATAAATCAAAACATACAGTTATCGCGTAAACCTGTACCTCTAGTCTATATTATAAATCCTAAAAAGTCCGCCGCCCACTCCGTCGGGGTTACTCCCAAAAAGGCTTATTACGGCGCCGTCGATTGACGCACGAGGGTGAAATTTTCACGACTCGTGGGTCACGTCATTCAACAGGTTGTATTAAATTTTGGGCACGATGCGGCCGGGGGTGTGGCCGTGGCGCGTGCTCATGTGCGCCATAGGGTTAGCATTAGAATCGGCAAAAACAGGCTATTGCTCGGGAACGGTAAGGGCTACGGGGCTGAAATTTTCGCCACAAGTCGAGCGCGTGCACTCATTTGTCGTATTAAATTTTCGAGGGTGTGGGTTCAGCGGTGTGCACGTGATAGGGCCGCGACCGGCGCCGAGCAGAGGGCACGTGCTGTTAGGCTCAGTTGTTCGCTTAAAAACTGACTGGAAATAATCAGAGCCGGAAGGTCATTGACCTTTGACAACGAATACCGGCGCCGGGCACCCCTCGCCAAGGGGATTCGCCAGTAAATACGATAAATTTGTGTTTGCAATATCTCAGCCGTTTGTGGGCCGATTTAGCTGAAACTTGGACTGTCGGTGGTAGTCTAGGGTAGTGTAGTGTAGGGTAGGGTAGGGTAGGGGTAGGGGTAGGGTAGGGGTAGGGTAGGGTAGGGGTAGGGTAGGGTAGGGGTAGGGTAGGGTAGTGTAAGGGTAGGGTAGGGTAGGGTAGGGTAGAGTAGAGTAGAGTAGGGTAGGGTAGGGTAGGGTAGTGTAGGGGTAGAGTAGGGTAGGGTAGGGTAGGTTAGGGGTAGGGTAGGGTAGTGTAGAGTTAGGGGTAGGGTAGGGTAGGGTAGGGTAGGGTAGGGTAGGGGTAGGGGTAGGGTAGGATAGGGTAGGGGTAGGGGTAGGGTAGGATAGGGTAGGGGTAGGGTAGTGTAGGGTAGGGTAGTGTAGGGGTAGGGTAGGGTAGGGTCGGGTCGGGTAGGGTAGGGTAGGGTAGAGTAGGGTAGGGTAGGGTAGGGTAGGGTTGGGTCGGGTAGGGTAGAGTAGGGTAGGGTAGGGTAGGGTAGGGTAGGGTAGGGTAGGGTAGTATAAGGGTAGGGTACGGTAGGGTAGGGTAGGGTGGGGTAGGGTAGGGTAGGGTAGGGTAGGGTAGGGTAGTGTAGGGGTAGGGTAGGGTAGGGTAGGGTAGGGGTTGGGGTAGGGTAGGGTAGGGTATGGTATGGTAGGGTAGGGTAGGTTAGGGTAGTGTAGGGATAGGGGTAGGGTAGGGTAGGGTTGAATTAAGTAACATCCTAATCTTACAAAGGGCTCGAACAACTCGCATGCATCACCATCATACTTTACAGTTCAATTAAAAGCAGTTACCCAAATCTACCCAAATAATACAGCTAAAAATACAAGTCAATCACCCAAACTCATGCACCCGTAACATAACATAAATCAAAACATACAGTTATCGCGTAAACCTGTACCTCTAGTCTATATTATAAATCCTAAAAAGTCCGCCGCCCACTCCGTCGGGGTTACTCCCAAAAACGGCAATTGCAAAGCCGTCGATTGACGCAGGACGGTGAAATTTTGACGACTCGTGGGTCACGTCATTCAACAGGTCGTATTAAATTTTGGGCACGATGCGGCCAGGGGTGCGCCCGTGGCGCGTGCTCACGTGGTGTGCCATAGGGTTTACACTAGAATCGGCAACAGGCTATTGCTCGGGAACGGTAAGGGCTACGGGGGCGAAATTTTCGCTGTAAGTCGGACGCGTGCACTCATTTGTCGTATTAAATTTTCGACGGTGTGGGTTCAGCGGTGTGCACGTGATAGGGCCGCGACCGGCGCCGAGCAGAGGGCACGTGCTTTAGGCTCAGTTGTTCGCTTAAAAACTGACTGGAAATAATCAGAGCCGGTAGGTCATTGACCTTTGGCAATGAATACCGACGCCGGGCGCCGCTCGCCAAGAGGATTCGCCAGTAAATACAATTAATTTATTTTTGCAATATCTCAGCCGTTTCTGGGCCGATTTAGCTGAAACTTGGACTGTCGGTGGTAGTGTAGGGTAGGGTAGGGTAGGGTAGGGTAGGGTAGGGTAGGGTTGGGTATGGGTATGGGTAGGGTAGGGTAGGTTAGGGTAGGGTATGGGTAGGGGTAGGGTAGGGTAGGTTAGGGTAGGGTAGGGTAGGGGATTGTAGGGTAGGGTAGGGTAGGGTAGAGTAGGGTAGGTAGGGTAGGGTAGTGTAGGGGTAGAGTAGGGTAGGGTAGGGTAGGGTAGGTTAGGGGTAGGGTAGGGTAGTGTAGAGTTAAGGGTAGGGTAGGGGTAGGGGTAGGGTAGGATAGGGTAGGGTAGGATAGGGTAGGGCAGGGGTAGGGTAGTGTAGGGTAGGGTAGTGTAGGGGTAGGGTAGGGTAGGGTCGGGTCGGGTAGGGTAGGGTAGGGTAGAGTAGGGTAGGGTAGGGTAGGGTAGGTTACGGTAGGGTAGGGTAGTGTAGGGGTAGGGTAGGGTAGGGTAGGGTAGGGTAGGGGTAGGGGTAGGGGTTGGGGTTGGGGTAGGGTAGGGTAGGGTAGGGTATGGTAGGGTAGGGTAGGTTAGGGTAGTGTAGGGATAGGGGTAGGGTAGTGTAGGGTAGGGTAGGGTTGAATTAAGTAACATCCTAATCTTACAAAGGGCTCGAACAACTCGCATGCATCACCATCATACTTTACAGTTCAATTAAAAGCAGTTACCCAGTTCTTCACAAATAATACCAGCAAGTTTCTACACCCAAACTAATGCATCCGTTAATCATACATATCAAAACATACAGTTATCGCGTAAACCTGTACCTCTAGTAGAATGATAAAAGCCAAGACCTTCATTCGTCAGTCGGTAGGTAATGTCCGTGAATAAGAACAGCACCGCACCCAGGGTACCACAGTCTGTCTCACCATTCGCCCTCTACCACCGCTGGTGATATTCACCGGTCCATCGCCCTCAATGTTTTGCAGCGGTGTTTACGTAAGGTGTTTTACAACTCACCGGTTCATTGGTCTCAGTGTGTTTCACCACAGCCGCGTCGTAGTTGAGTTTGCCATCCTTGTCCTTCTGGAACAGCTTACCGCTGCCGTGGCCAAACAGCTCGTGCAGACCGACCTGGACCTGCCGGGCAGATAGACAGACACTGGTCAGAGCTGCTGCTGGCAGACAAACTATGGTCAACATCGGAGCATTGGTCAGAAAGACAGGCGACAGCCAGACCCTCGCGGCCTTCAGGGACCAGCTGCAGCTCCATGAATGTGAAGCGAACCCCGTGACCATCATAACCCTTTTCGCCCGAGCGCACCTCGAACGTCCTGCCACCGGTAGGTACTGCCCCCCCCCCCCCCCTATCTTGTACCTCAAACGCCTATGTGCGGTACTGTCGCATCAGCCCGTACTTACCTCGAATGCCTGCGTGCGGTACTGTCGCATCAGCTCTGCGTCCTCTGTGCCCAGGAAGGGCAGCACGGCCGCCGAGTACGCCGCCATGATGACGTTCCCCAGCGAGACGTTCTTGAAGCCCTCCTCTTGGCGAATCTCGTCGTAGTTTGGAATGTTGATGCCGGCCGGCACGCCGCTGCCAGCGAACGCCAGCACGTCCAGACTGGTGAAGTCCGGCTTCAGGAAACGGTCCTTCTCGTACGTCTAGGTGGATAATGGTAAGGGTCAGAATGACCATCTACGGTCGCAAGCATAACAGGCGAAAGAATCGCCACACAGCTGCATTGTATCGCCATACAACCGCGACACAATGTCGTTTCATCGTTGACAACTTTCAATGTCAGCAAAATCGAGCGCGGCTGCCATAAGATGCTTCGTCCGGCTGATTTGAGCATTACACACCTAGCAATGTATCATTTTGACGTGAAATTCAATTTGTTTACGGTATTGCCTACTCACCTATGTCTTTCCAAATACGACAATAATTGATATGCACACCTTTATCACAATTGTCAACTACTCTTATCCCCTCACCTCCTTCTTCTGACTATATTATCATACAGTAGCTGCGGTAGATCCTCAACCTTCAATCCACCGCCATTCACCAATCGCTCCTCGCGAGAACAGCACCGCATATCGAGGCAACCAAACAAAAAACGTCAGTGTCGCCGTGTCAAGATTGCCACTGACTACACAACGACAAAGGTCGAAAAAAGCAGGAATTTCAACTTCTTTGCGAGATTGCGAACTGCCTGGCCCAAGCACTCCATCGTGCGCTCTTCCCTTCCACCCACGTAGCAAGCAGCCACCATCAACAGCAGCGGCGCGGCTCTCACCTCTGGCCAGGGCAGACGGGGCAGGATGGTCTCGGCGGCATTCACCAGTCGGCCGAACTTCTCGCTCATCGGGCCGTTCACCATGGCGGCGAAACCCTCCCACTCGGCCCGCATGCCGGTCGGGTCGCGGTACGTTTCGATGAAGCCGATGTAGCTGAAAGGGAGAGAGAACAAGGCGGTTACGGGACGGTCCAGTGATGTAGCGGTGATGAGTTGCATGTTAGAAGAGGCAGCAGAAGGAAATGCCGCCCGTGACAGCGCAACCGTCGGAGAATCGCACACCTACGTAAAACAATATAATGGACTATCGATCCAATTTACAAACATCTGGCAATAAAAGCAAATGCAGACAAGTTAGCTGATCTAAAACATTCACCACAAAATATACACTATCACTCCTTCTCGGCAACAGGAACTAGAAGCGAATTCGAGAGATGAGCTCTCTGGAGCGTGGCGGATAAAGCTCTCACGTTTCGACGGCCGGTCCCTTGTTTTTGATCCAGTGCCGGCTGCCGTCCTTGTGCGCCGCCAGAGAGCCACTGGTGAAGCTCTTGATGTACTCGGAGAGCATACCTTCTTCCTCGGGGTTGGCCACATGTTTCCTACGGGAGGGACGGAGACAGGTCATTGTGACAGAGCACCACTAGTTGCACAGCATAAAGTGCACGGGGATGGGATGCACCACACGGGACGACGATCCTTTTAGTTTACTTCCACGCTGTCAGCGAGATGACAGAAATCGGCATTATCAAGCTCAGACGTAATTACTGGACAAAATAAAGTTTGGTTTGATAGCACCCCCTCCTGGATGGTCCATCACTACATCTTAAACAGAGACCCTAGCACAGTGTGCCACTGTCCATCGTGCAGAGAGCCTCCGTCCGTCCCCTTACCGTGCCTCCTTGAGTTCCTCCACGACCATGGCGAGTAGCGGCGAGTAGTCGCCGCGCGTGACGCTGAACTTGGCTCCCTGGAACTCCTCGGGGCCGCTGGTGAGCGCCGGGTCACTGTCGCTCAGCACAGACGCCAACCGAATCTGATGGCAGGAGTAGAAGGGCCAAGGGTCAAGGGATCAACTTACCCGTGCCAAATTATAGTGCCAAGTCATGTCATACCATCTGTTCTTGGTTGTGGTCTTTATTTGAATACATTGACACATTTCGGGTCCTGTAAAATGTCGTTCTAATATTGAAACAGCTATATATCTAGAAGCGATAGATGACTTATGCCGTTAAAAATAATAGAATCATGAAGTGAATCAGCGCGAATCGTACAGCACAGCGACAACCATGTGGCCCACTACCCGATAGCCCACATCGTAGTGGTTAACACCATCGACGACCGTCTTGAAGAGTCGGTTATTGTATGGCTCCAGGTTCTTGTGCTTCATGTACTGTTTGACCTTCTCGGCGTCTTCCTCGGTGCAGTTGGCGGAGAAGTACGTAGTTACTCCCTGTGGCGAGACGGGAACGCGTGTACATTAGGGTGCGCTGTGAACAGAGGGTACACTCTGGGGTCCTCCGCCCAGAGGGTACTGGGCGGAAGACCCCACCCTACACCCTATCGATAACGGAGAGGATATAAACAAGAAAGTACAGGAATATGGGTAGCGGACACACTGGACGGTGGACAGAGCACATATTAGGTGCTGGGACGAAAAAGAAGTCGAAAATGCCCACCAATGCCGTTGGCGATAAAAGGAAAACTGACGGAGGAACACTGAAAAAGTCAAGATGGGTCTGGGGTACATCAGCACTCCTTTCCCAGTCACGCCAGCATTACATCCTCCCTATCCCCGTCCCACCCTGCACCTTCCCTCGTTCCCACCTTGTCCCCGAGTCCGAGCTGCGCCACGCTGTCGTTTAGCGTGTAGAGCCGCGCCAGGCAGCCGTCCAGGAGTCGCTCCATGGCCTTGCTATCGGTCTCGTAGGCCCGTGAGGCGCGCACCAGAGCGGCAAACTTCTCCTGCGCCACCCCTGGCACCTTCTTGGTGTCGCCAAAGTCGCGGTAGTTGCCCATATCGGAGTAGATGGAGCTGCTGTACACCAGGAACGCCTGGTGGAGGGGGTGGGGAGCCGGTCATTGAGGATGTCTGCTGTCCTTATTGTAGATCGGTATCAGCTATATCCACAAAGTGTTGAGAACCGGAACATTTCATAAGATAGATGGTGAGCGTTGCAGACACTTCAAAACGAAAATGCATCGCTAAATTACTGCAGCATACATACATATTATATAATAATGACAAAAATGCAGGATTTTTGTCCCAAGCTTGGCAATTGACCGACCTTCCAGTCATCCTCGGTGAAGCCGCACTTCTCCAGGGCGACCGCCTTCAGTTCATCACAGGTCTGTTGACGGAACACGCGGTGGAGCAGGACAAACGCCAGCGGTGACTCCGGAGACGTCTGAAACGCGACACGTTTCTGGGAGTGAGTGGGGGGGGGGGGCGGGGAGAGGAGAGCACGGGACGGGGCAGAGCCGGGAGACAGACAGCAGGGAATCGGGCGGCGTCTGAAACACGACACCGTCCGGGAGTCATTGTAACCGGGAGGTGTGGAGGGGAGACAAACCGAGAGACATCGGAGACTAGCGAGACTCAGACGATTGAAAAACGACACGGCGAGGGAGCCGTGGGCGGGGGGTGGATGTCCATAACACACCACCGACCGGTGTCAGGTGGCGGGGGGGGGGATGAGAGGTGGCAGGACAAAGCGCAAACGAGGTCTTGGTAGACGTCGGGAACGGACCACGACGCTATTAGCAACCAGGGGAATGTCGGACCAATTAGGCAGGAGACAACGCAGCCTATACGGCCTTGACGCAGTCAGTCATTTCTTAGTCGAGGCCGGCCCTGCGCTCACCTGAAGCAGCACAATCAGGCTGCCCTTCCAGGAGGCCTGCGCGATGTGATGCGCGTATAGCTTCTGCTTGGACGTCAGGCCGCCGAAGGCCACATCACAGTCGAGCCGCGAGAACGGCTGGTTGTTGGGCAGGATGTACTTGGACGACATATCCTCTCCGGAACAGCAGCCGCGCGCGAGCCTGCCGGGCCGGGGGAGTCGCGTCACTACTTGCGGTCACAAGGAACAAGAGCCCGCGTCGGCCGTAGCACACTGCAGTGGCCGCAACTTCACGGATCGAGTGGTAAGCACATAACCGGTCGCCGTCTCACCATTCATAGGCATCGTGAGGGCTAGAAAAAGTGAATGTCAACTGCCCCTTATACATCCCGACTATCCTGTCGCCGGTTCACACACCAACACTTATCCTCGCTGATACCGCCACACGGTGCAAAAATCAGCCGTCTCCTGACCACAGATCTACGAGCACGGACACAGCTATCCACCTGCACGGCGCACCACCGTGCGCGTGACCGGCAGCGGCCGCCGGTCAACGCCGCCGGCAATTGGACACGTGACTGGGCATTGACCTGAGACACGTGACAGGACATTAACCAATCGGGCGGCACGGACCCATTCGCCAATGGCTGACCACTCAAAATGGGCCATGTTGGCTTCGATTCGTGCCGGGTACTTGGCGCGGGGAAGGCCGAACTCCCGACCGGGGCCCTGTTTCACCGCCCGACGCTGCGCACGCTGCAGCGCGCTGGGAGCTGAGGCATACCCCTGACGTCACTCGAATGACGTTGCGTGCGATCCGTTAGCTTATGGTAAATCGCATTTCGAACAGAGACCTTGAAGAACCTAGTACCAATTGAACAGAAGTTTGAGTGCGAATACTGCTAGCGTGCGGATGGTGCTGGCGCCGCCTGGGCGCCGCGGTGCTAGCGTTTTGCGATAACGTCATAGCGTAGCGTCAGAGGGAAGTTTGTTGATTTTGCCATGGAAGCCCAGCGCGCCGACGCGCGCAGCGCACTGCAGCGCTCCGCCGCGAAACAAGGCCCCGATTTGATTAAGTAAACATCACCTTAACGCTCTGTGATTAAACGAAAAAAGTGTAAAAAGTATGTTTAATTACTCAGTTTAGCAGGTTGTTAATGATAGCCTATTAAGATGTTCTCTTGCCTTGCCATTGAATGACGCTTGGAGCGCGTCACTCAGGACTTCTGAGCATACAGACGCATTTTGGCAGAACAAGTACTGACAGCAAATCATCAAATCAGCATGTAGTGCTGCAAGAACTGCCCATTATTACAACTAAAAGTGGCAGCCAGAGCAGTCAGTCCGATCAGGATAGTCCTGATTAGTGACTAGTGCTCACTCCTGTCTACAATTTTTGTTTTGAAGCAGATTCGCAGTGTCCCAATATTTGTTGACTTCGGTGGGAAACAACATCCAAATGTAAACAATTTTCAACTCTCACTTCAAACTTTTGAGAGCAATTTTCCACTCCCAACTTAAAAAACAAAGCATCTGCATGCATGGTCTTAAACCTCATATTCATACACACATGACAAGCTACATCATACCAAATTTGTGTGGAAATAAATGCTATCAATCCATTTTCCCTCCATTCTTACAACTTCCAACTGTTTTTAGCTTTACATGACCGCCAATTTTCCACTCTCATCTCCCAGCTGTCTACTGTTTGTTTGTTTGTTTGTTGGGGGTTAGGGGCGCGCCGACTGCGAGGTCATTTTGCGCCCAGCTGTCTACTGAATAATGTTCCTCTCTAACACCCAAGCTAAGTTACAATTTTGGGACACTGCAGATTCATAATATGGGTGGTACTGGTGTCATTTCTTGCCACTGTTTAATATAGGTTCATGTTTATTGTCAGAGTGGCTGGTGCTGGCTGGTTCTGATATGTCCCCTGGCTGCAGACTGCTGCAGTCTGTTACCTACCTCTGCTGCCATGCCCAGCAGTCTGGGCTGAACTTACTGCAGTGGAAATCCTCATCATCAAGTGCACTGAAGACAATGATTCTATTGTTGGGAGATTAATTACAGCAATAATTCTCATTAATCCTGGTTAAGGATTTACAAAACAATTTTAATTTTAACTGCTCCAAAATTTTACATAAAGTATGTAAAGGTCATTTAATAACTCAGTCCAAAATATACACTGAGCTAATTCAAGTGCTCAATATTCTGCCAATCTAGTGAGAAATAAAATTAACTGACTTAACCCTTTGATTAAGTGATTGTGAACTAGGTTGATCATCTCTTATCTAATATTTGACTTACCATTGCTTGCAAATTGCAATCTATTCATGCAAGTAAGCAACTGTTTCCTTATCCCCAGCTACCTAGGCAAAACTCAGTAGGTAGGTAGGTCAGGTTAGGTCAGATAAGGTTAGGTGGTTTCTAGTTTTTATTAGGCCATATTTTATTATATATATATATATATATATATATATATATATATATCCTTCTATTTTATTGAATTCGTGTTTTGTAATGTTACAATTCTGCCGCCGCACTTGGTTGCCGCACTGGTGTCTGTTGTATTATTTTGTTGTTTGAAATACTTCTAGAATTTTCTTCCAGAAGGCAGTGCGGTTGGAATAATTGTGATAAATTGAACAGAATTGCCCATTTCAGTATTTTTACGATGGTTTCCACATCATTTAGCATGGAGAAGTAGATTCTGAGTTCTGACTAAAGATTTTAGGCAACGTGTGTTTTGACAGGCAAAGGTCTTAGCTATCACTGTTTTATCCATTTAAGACTTCAAAGATATCTTGTCCTACACTGGAATAATTAATAATCACAAAGATAATGCTACAGTTTCAATATATTATCACTCTGCGACAATAATAATGTTCCAGCCAGTAAATGGATGACTACAGTTTAAAAATGAGGGTATTTTTAAGCGGTGAGCACTTATACCATAATACACCTTAAATTACGCGGGGAAATTTCCATAAATAACCTTGAAATAACCAATGAGTGGACGTTGCGGCGTTCGTGACGCAGTCATCTTTTGAGAGTCCTCCTTAAAAAATACGAAATAAGGACCATGTTCATGCGAAATCGACAGGAAAGGCACCAATATATTACCGTTGAATGCTAAAAGTAACAAATACACTTACTTTTTCAGAAAATGCGGTCTACAGCTGGCTCCTAGCCGGCCTATACCGCGCAGCAATTTGCCCGACAACATTGCAATGTGGCAGCAAAGAACTCATTAATTTGGTAGCACGCGACTTTTGTATTTCGAAGTATTCCCCCTTCTCAGAATGCAGAGCTCCATGAGAACTGCTGACTACGTAAAGGAATCTTGGACGACTACAACCATTCATGATGGAGCCAGGCCAGGGCTGCGAAGTCGATGCCGATTTTCAGTGACTCAGAATCCGACGTCGGCCCGACATCGGGCCGAGGCTCGGCCCGACGTCGGCCCAACGTCGGTTCAACCTCGGCCCGACATCGGCTGGACGTCGGATATGCCCGCATGTTCCGACGTCCAGCCGAAGTCCAGCCGACGTCGAGCCGACGTCGGGCCGAGGTCGTTTGCCGAGGTTGACGAGATCGTTTGTCGTTGGACCGACGGGGCCGACGTCGGCATGTTTATTGGGACAACGCGCCAAAAATATCAACCGGCGGCGGGATTCGAGCCCCCCAGTCGCCGACGTCGGCATGTTTACTGGGACAAGACGCCAAAAGCGTCAGCCGGCGATGGGATTCGAACCCCGTGTCTTGAACGCGAGGTTAGTGCGCTAACCACTACACCACGCAGCCAGTTAGCGAATTGAGTTTGTTTTGTTGGGTTATGCCCTTTCGGTCTGAACTCTGACAAGACCATTTCAGAGCCGGAAGGATGATAGGATGGAGACATTGGTCTTCTTGGCGAGCACCCTGGGTCCAGTTCATATAGAGTCCCCGGTCCCATTGCTGTTACGTGACACTTATTGGAAAGGGCGACCCTACAATGGATTCATATAGCCACCTTTACACACCTGCACCAACGTTTCCCAAAGTGTCCCTTTGATAAGTGGCATTTTGGCAAAGTGACACTTGCCGACTGGCCTTTCTATATGAACTGGACCCGGCCCTGGTGAGTTGCCGGGGCTGAGCCTGACCAAAGGATAGGCCGAGCAGCCCCCAAGCACTCACCGCACCCGGCTACGGGCGAGCTCGGCTTACGGGCAATCCCAAATGGGATAAAGTTTCCCGTCCAGTCCGGATCAGGGGGTTGCGGCGTGGAGGAAGATTTAAGTTTCCTGAGGATATTTTGAATACAGAAGCTCTTTATGAAACATGAAACATGTATTTTATATTATCTTAACGGTCAAAACAGCGGCCGATGTCGGTCCGACGTCGCCCCGACGTCGGCTGGACCTCAGCAATTGATCTCGGTCCGACGTCGGCCCGACGTCGGCTGGGCCTCGGCTGGACGTTGGTACATGCGGGCATATCCGACATCCAGCCGACGTCGTGCCGAGGTTGGACCGACGTCGGGCCGACGTCGGCATGCCGATGCCGAGATGCCGACGTCACCCCGACGTCGGGCCGACGTCGGCATGTTTACTGGGTCCATACCTACCTGTCACACTCACATCCATTGCAATTTGCAAGTAGGAGTTAGGACTACGCCAACGGACTCATTAGACCGTCGTGCAAATGTTTCGATAGTCGCTAGCACCGGCCAAAGCTCTCGCCTTGGCACGTACTCATCCCGCCCAGAGAAGCCAAAGACAATCACTCGTATGGATACATCATTTACAATATGCCGTCAACGCCAATTTTGTAGATAAAAAGCTTCACATACACAGTAACAAGACGTCTGTTGGCAGCACCGGCCAATACCAAGCGTTCACCAAGAAACTCGGCCCGTGGACCGCTCGCCACCGCGGTACCTCGGAGCAGTGAGCACCACTCGGCCGGCGATCCCTTCCGTCCCCGTCCCACCCGCACAGATCGACCACGTCAAGGACCACGTGGTGGGCCGCCGAGAACACCGCGTGTCGACCGCAGTCCCATAGACCTCACGGCCGGCAGCGCAGCAGCACCTCTGATCGCCACCCTCCGTCCTCACTGTTTGCCGACAACCCAACGGCAGCGATCTGGCCGTTGGCTCAGGTCCGTTTTGCCCCGGCAACTCCGACATACCAGAGTTTGGCTGGTGTTAACGGAACGCCATCAGAGCCGGGGGTTGGGTCGATATGGCTCTATTCCGATTAGCCAGCCTTACCCGTAGCGCTCCCGCGTTGGTATGGTTTCGGACTGCCAAGTATGGCACAAGTCCGGCTCCCTGCCACCGCCACGGCTGAAGTCCGGCTTCCTACGGCCAGGTCCCGCTGCATCGTAGCTGCTCTGGCTTACTGTGGCAGTGAAGTACGGTTGTGGTACGGCACGGCTGATGCGGCTTAAGTCCGGCTGTGGTGCAGGCGAGCTCTGAGATCGTGTGTCAGCTCCAGTAGAGCCGCAGACCTGGCCCGTACTTTGGCCGGAGTAAATGCCGGAGCTAGGCAGAGTAAAACCAGCTTCGGCCCAGACCAAATTTGCTGCAGCTGGGAAACGGACTGAGCGTGCCCTGGCCCTGCTGCAGCTGGCGCATCATCTATATTACTGAAACTGATACTGTGCGTCTTTTCTGCACACGTGAAGAATAAGATCTTAGACCCGGCTCGTTCATGGTAAGGTCACCAGGTCACGTCAAGTGACCTTACCTCAGAGAAAGTTACAATGCTCGCAGTCGCAATAGCTACACCGACTGAATGATCGCTTTGAAACTTTCAGCAATTGATAAAAGCAACAATGTGAGCAAAATGAACACCTCAGAATTTTGATATCGGTAACTTTCAGGTTACATATACTGTAGAGCTCAAATCATGGAGATGTCTAAATCAAAGGTTGCTGACTTGCTGACATACCCCCGTACATGGCTTCTATAACAGGAGAAAAACAGGGATCACAATTTATTCACACAGACACAAATGGTCGCACACACTTGGACACGGGGCCACTGCAGCTGCGCCGGCCACGCGCTCCCTCGGCTGGCGAGCGCCGTGAGCGGCCTCAGGGCTGGGAGCCGGCAGCTGGCAGTCAACGCGCAGACATGGCGCTGGAGAAAGGCTGAACGTCCCGGATAGTCGACTCATCGTAGTACTTGTTAAATTTCTTAAAACCAAACCGGCGTCTAGGGTCCCGTTTGCTCGAACTAGGCGCTAGGTTGGGCATCAGACCTGCCTTCTGGGCCATGGCCACCAGCTGCTGAACGCGCCGCTGCTGCAGCCGACACACGCCCGAGACGCGCCGCGGCAGCAGACAGCCGTCCGAGCGCAGGAACTGGCTCAGGATGAGAACGTCCGTGTGTTTGATGTCCAGGTGGAGCTGGCAGAGTGGACAAGCACATGTGCCTCCACCCGTTTGTACCACACGATTCTCGCGCGGCGAGGGCATGACTCGGCCCTGGATGACGGTCACATTGCCCTCCTCGGCGCAGACGATCTGTTTGACTAGGGCTGGCCGAGCCGTGCAGAGGGTCTTATGCTGAGCCATCGCTGAACATGTCCGAGCAGTGGCGCAGACCGCACGGCGCCACACCAGGCTCATCTTCACCCAGCGCGACAACAACACATACAATAGGTGCTTGATAGTCTGCTGATTGAAAGTGAGAAATACAATTAGCCAGTTTGACTGACCTTCAACCAAATGATTTGTAGACTATTCGGCAGCCCTGCGAAGGTAAAGTTTGTTACTGGAAATTCATCAGCCAGTGTTAACTACACACTAGATATTTGATATTTTTAGAAGCTTCACTTATACATTATAGATAAGATACCAAAACATACTCAACTCAACTCAAAATTCAACTCAACTCTCACCGGTGAACCCGGCGCGGGCAAGGTGGGGTGGTGGGTCCATGTCATACTCAACAAGCACTGCTTAGCGGGGCACCCGGGCCCATAGCCACCCATTCATCCATTCGGACAAAATTTCTTTTAAAAAAAAACATCCTCTTTATCTTCTATGTTTATCAATAAATATTGAAATCATTTGGCTACAGCAGAATTATGGATTAAATTTGATGAATGTATTTTAAAATAAAAGTGCTCTCATTTATAAAAAAAACTCCTCATAATTCTTTTATCAGAATTTTCAGTCATTTACTGTAATAATTATAGGGAGAGTACCTATGACCTTTCTCGTTTCTCTAAGAAACATTATCCAACCTTCATGCTATTTGTACGGTAGCTGCTAGTAAATATCAAAGTTTCCTCGTATATTTATATATGTGATAACATTTATTTGCGAGAAGCAGCACCTGCAGGCTACAACACCCACAAAAATGAGTTTTTTCCTTCTCTATAAAAATGATGCAGTGTGTGCCGTGTGGGATCTCTGACACAAATATTGCATGAGCTTGAATGTTTGTTATTTGTATTCTGCCCCACACATAATGTCATGTGCCAGTATTCAAATTGAAATAGAAATGGTTAGAAATATGTTTGTTTCAGAGAAGTTCATGCACAAACTAAAAAATAATGTAAAAACTTGTTCAACTGTCATTTTCAGCACTCAACCCTTTGGGTGGATGGTGAAATCATGGCGCCTGGCACGATTTGAGCAAGGCTCTTGAAGTTCACTTGCAAAGAGCACATGAACTGGCCTATGAACTATGAAGGCATCTGGCATACAGAGATAAATTTCAGTAAAAGGGTTTTAATTTACCTCATAATTGGTTGTGTATGATCAGAAAATGGTCCTTACTCAGAAAATGTGGAAAAGGTCATAATGTTGAGTCTGACTCCTTCTTGGTAAAAAATGGTGTGCGTCAGGGTGGCAACCTCTCACTCTTACTATTCAATTTGTACATCGATGATCTGCTGTGTGATACTCGTCAGTCTGGCTTAGGCTGTCACATCGGATCATGCGCTGTGAATGTATTTGCTTATGCCGACGATATCGTTATTCTGTCCCCCACTAGGGCGGGCTTAGAAAGGCTTGTGAGGAAATGTGAGCAGTTTGCGCTATCTCGAGACATAAAATTTAATGCGAGAAAATCGGTGTGCATGATGTTTACCCCAGAACGGCCCTACCTACAGCCGCAAGCACTTAGGGGTTTACTCGCCTAAGAGTATCACTTTAGACGGCCAGCCCATGTTATGGGTTAATACCTTCAAGTACTTAGGGCATATGCTAACGAGCGACCTCAGTGACAGTGCTGACATGCGTAGAACAAAACGTGTCCTGTACTATGTTACTAACATGATTTGTGCGAGGGTAGGCTATGCAGACAGAGACATTCTTGTGAGATTGTTTAAATCCTACTGCTCTAGCCTGTATGGCTGTGAGCTTTGGAACACCTCTGTGCACAAAAAGGCATTCAATGAGCTCTGCGTAGCCTACCACTCATGCATCAAAAGACTTGTTAAACTACCACGATCAACTCGTAATCATGACATGTGTCTCGCTCTAGAACTGCTTCCATGCCCCATGTTGGTAGCTTGCAGGCAATTGTCGTTCTGGCGGAGGCTACATTCGTGTGACAACTCAATCGTGAGAGCGCTTGCCAGCGGCATTGATGCCCATGGCCTGCTTGCTACCACACATGTGCAGATCAGACGCTCCTACGACCTGCTGGGCCTGAACCTCCATGCAGTGAGTGGACGCGATTTAACAAACATGTTCGTCGGCCGACGGACGATTTGTTCGCACACGAAACGAAATGGCAGGCATAAGAGTCTGATACCAATAGGTACTTTTTGTCGTTTGTATCTCTGTGTGTGTACTGTGTGTGCTTGGGAATGTGTGTGTATCATTATCATTGTCGTGTTTTACTCTACTACGAATATGTGCCTTATGGCATGAAATAAATGAAATGAAATGAAATAAAATTTTACCTTTAAGATGGGGCATCACTCAGATTACGCTAGTTCACCACCTAAATAATCATAACAGTCGGGCGCACTGTGGTATCTCCGATTCATTTATGGAGACGTTTCTATTATTGGAAACGTTTCCAATTTTGACTACTCTTCTGTTCCAAAAATGGAAACGCTCGTTCCATAAATAGAAACGCTAACATCTCCTCACAAATATTCTTGCCAGGGGTGGCTGGATTTGATGTATAACCACTGTTTCGCGTAAAACAAGCGCGGATACACCAAAAGCACTTGTCTTCTTGCATGGAAAGCTGTCGTATGCATTCAAATTCACCACTTTAAAATGCTCCTGAATCGTATCCATTTATGGAGACTTAGTTTCCAAAAATGGAAACGACGATGTTCCAAAAATAGAAACGCTGAAGTTCAAATGTGTGCAAACTTAGCTCAAATGTGTTTTTAAAATTCACATGCAACTAAAAATTTTATGTTTTCAGACTGGTTTAACATCTCGGCTCTCGGCAGTTTCCTTGGACGTCAGGTTCGATACTAATACATTACGCGCCGCACCTTTAGCACATTCAAAAGTCAACTAAACCTAAGATTTCCCAGAAACTACTGGACAAATGTGGTCCAAAGTGGGCAATACATAAAGCTTAGATATCATTTCAATTTATAAAATTGATATCAACGTTACACATCAGCTAGAATGATTAAATTAATCGTCAGAATACGACGGTATTTGGTGTGACGACGGTGCAGACCTTATTTCCATCCTGCTTTTTACGTATTTGCACGGATATTTACGTTGATCTGAGCCGACAATTATATTCAGCACATTTGAAATATCATAAAATGCCCACTTAAGTCTCCGAATAGGGCTTTACAACAACTTTCATGCGATTTAATCAAAGATTGACGACCAACAGGCCGCTGGTACACCGGAAAATGCAGCGTGAAAAAGAACGAAAAACTGAAGTTCCCGGTGATGTGGTTGTTCCAATCAATGGGCCAATCTTTCAGTAGTCTGTTAAAAACGTTATTTTTTGTTCAAAACATTCATAAATGTTATTATTTTTCGATTAGAAAAACGCGTGAATTTTTAATCACGTCAACATGTTATTAGCATCGCCTCGTTCGTCAACTTTCGGTTTTCTGATCGGAAAGTCGGAGAACAGGAACATAAACTAGAATGCTGGCTGTCGATTGGTGGCATCCTGCGCATGCCAAATTGCACCAATCAATGCCCAGTTTGATCAAAAGGTAGCGATGCACACAGCGTCTCCATTTATGGAACAGACCGTTTCTATTTTTGGAAACGGCGTATCCATTTTTGGAACATTGTTCCAAAAATGGAAACGTTTCCATAAATGGATCGGAAATACCACAGTGTGCCCGACTCAGGCCGCTGCCATATTAATCTACTGGTCAGTGCCTTTGGGTCCATAATTTTATATCAAGTCATCTTTACAGGATGATGATTTATACCATCGCAGAGCTTAAATTACGCGCATCAATTTCAGTAAATAGCCAACTGGTGGGCGTTGCGGCGTTCATGACGCAGTCAACTCATGAGAGCTCTCCGAGAAAGAGACGAAAATAAGAGCCATACGCAAAACAAATCGGCAGGGAAAATACCAAAATATTTCGGTTGAATGCAATAAGTAACAAAAACACTTACTTTTCCAGAAAATGCGGCCTACAGAGTACAGCTATCCCCCATTCGGCTACTGCCGCGCAGTATTTGTCCCGACAGCCATAACAATATGGCAGCAACAACTGCAGCTTTATTTGGCAGCACTTGACTTTTGAAGTATTTTCCCCTTTCAGTATGCAGAGTTCGGATTTCCTGCGACCAGACCATTCAAACTTGGAGCGGTATATCAATATACGGCCTTGCTTGGAGCGTGTTGTATTCAGTCAACACTCACCATGTGACTCAACCCAATGTGCCCGTACCCGACTTCAAATCTATTGTAAGTAGGCGACTAATGGATTATTCAGGCAGCCGTACATGCTTCAACAATAGCCAAGAACCTACCACCTTACTTGCTACCACCCAAAGGACTCTTACCTAGTAGCGGTCTCGTGTCGCCCCAGTAGCCAGGCAAGACAATGACTTATATGGACACATGTATTTACAATATTTAAATACCGTCAACACCAATTTTGTATATAAAGAGCTTCACATCCACAGTAACAAGACCGCTGTCGGCAGCACCCAATACCAAGCGTTCACGCCACTGTACCCCGTACCGCAGGTAAAACTCGGCCCCGGGCCGCTCGTCAGCGCGGCGCACCGCCTGGCGACTCCTCTCCCCTCCCCTCCCACCCGCACAGATCGACCAGCCGCCGAGAACACCGCCTGTCGACCGCAGTCCCCGAGCGAGACCTCGCGGCCGACCGCGCAGCAGCACCTCTGATCGCCGCCCTCCGTCCGTCCGTCGCCATGCTCGTCCTGGAATGGAGCGTCGCGCCGGCCGCGCTCACTGTTTGCCGACAAATTGACTGAGCGTGCCCTGGCCCTGCTGCAGCTGGCGCATCATGTTCTGGATGCCGTTGACGCCGCCCATCTGCTGCAGCACGCGCGGGTCCATCATGCGCGCCATCTGCTGGTTCAGCTTGGCCATCTGGTTGGGGTTGACGTTGCGAGACATGTCGCCTCCTGCGGCACACAGAGGGATGGATACAGGGTTGGGGTATCATTCAGCAGACGTTTATCGTGACACAGTCAGACTGGTTATTGATTCACCTTTTTTGGATCGATTCACAGACATCTGTATATTTAGAGAAGTCTACGATCGATTTTATTTATAGTATTGATTCGATTATTTATACATGATTATAGATAATTATTGATTCATTCCATTTTTCGATTCAATCACCGTTTGATTCATTCAAAAAATTGTCGAATCGATTCCTTTCGATTCAGAGAATCAAAAAACAAAAAAGGGAACGTTTCACGTCTGATTCAGCCAAAAAGTTATTGAACTGTAGACGTGCCTCTCGGTGGGTTCTCCGGCAGCATCATTTCATTGCCAGCACTGAATAGGTACAGGGTGGACCAAAAAGGATGGAAACATTTTGAACTCGCATAAAACATCTATTATTGCATACAGGTGACTCAAAATGATACCAAACGAGAGAATATTTCGTGGAAATTCATGATTTCATCACTTTCATCTGTTTTCTCTCGTTTTTAGTCTCTCACAGCAAATGTTCGGAGAGACCACCTTTGCGAGACAGGCAAAGAGTGGCCCGCCTGGCTACTGACGCGATGGCCCGATGACACATGTCCTCTGGCATGACTCGCACAGCCTTGGTGATCGCTCTCTTCAGGTAACAGAAGCATACAGAACCTTCCTTGTAGACCTGACCCTTGACGTGACCCCACGGGAAAAATGCATAGGGCTTAGGTCAGGTGAGCAGGCATGTCAGTTCCACCTCGGTTCGAAGATGGGAGCGGCAACACCGTGACCGTCGACCAACAGCGCTGCCAGGCGATGCTAAACAAGTTCTGAAAGCGAGCTCAAACGCAGTATGGTAGCCTCATGGACCTCATGTGATTCCAGCACGACGGTGCGCCTCCTCACATCGTGAAAACAACGCTCAAGTGGAGCGCGAACCACTTTGGTGACCGGCTGATATCCCGCAGTGCCTGCCGGAACTGTCCTGCCTGCTCACATGACCTGACCCCAATATATTTTTTCCCGTGGGGTCATCTCAAGGGTCAGGTCTACAAGGAAGGTTCTGAAGGCCTCTGTTACCTGAATAGAGCGATCACCAAGGCTGTGCTAGCCAAACCAGCAGACATGTGTCATCGGGCTATCGCGTCAGCAGCCAGGCGGGCGACTCTTTGCCTGTCTCACAAAAGTGGTCTCTTCGAATATTAGTTTTGAGAGACTGAAAACGAGAGAAAACAGATGAAAGTCATAACATTATGAATTTCCACGAAATGTATTCATGTTTGGTATCACTCCCAGTCACCTGCGTGCAAAAACATACGTTTTATGCGAGTTGAAAATGTTTCCATCCTTTTTGGTCCACCCTGTACTGATTAACGAACACGGTGAAAACACGTCCGCGCCGCCGCTCCACATGCCACCAGCTGATCCAGCAGCAGAATCCCAATCAGAATGCCGCACAGAATGCCGCACGCACAACGATTATTATAAATTATTTCGATTCAATTAAAAAAAAAAATCCAACCAAAATTTTGGACATTATTTTCACACAAAGCATTTTTACATCTGAACAGCTCCATTGTTGCATTACACAGGTGCATTGTTGATAATGAACTATGTCCACATCAATTTTCATTGTTCAAAGTTCATGAATCGTTAATTTTTTGATTCAATGAACCCTGATTACCAATGCGTTCGATTCAATCATAGCTTGTGAATCGAACAATCCTGACGGTGAATCAAACCCTTTCGATTCAACAAATTTTGTTTGATTCAATCCAATTGATTCAATCACGGGAGAATCGAACGCCAGTCTGGACAGACTCACTCAAACGTATGTGATGGTGGCTCCGACAGTGGGTTTCAATGCAAAATAATTACATCGCAAATTGCGGCCCAACCAATCGATAATGTTCATATCACAAAGCTAATGACATGGCAACTCTGAACGGAAAATATGAAAGCGAAGCATGAACTCACCCTTGAAGAGTCCCTTGATGCCTCCCATCTTTTTGACGACCTGCGCGAACTTGGTGTGCTGGTTGAGGAGGTCCCGCACCTCGCGCTCCGAGACACCGGCACCGTTCGCCACGCGCGTTATGCGAGACGGCTGCTTGGTGAACAGCTTGGCGCCCAGCTGGCTGTCCAGCTCTGCAGTCGGGTCACAGGTCAGGTCAGACGGGTCACAGGCAGTATAACCTCAATCGGGAAACATAACACAGTTGGGATCAGCTAAATAGAACACCGCAAAACTTTTTGCTCGATACGGAGCTCTGACGATGAACACTTTGGTTTCAAGGCGCACGAACTGTGGGTAACAAAAGCACATGCACTGAACCTTGAGCAAACTGTCATTCCACGAGACAACTAGTCCCGTCGCGGCACCCACCTCCGTCGCTCATACTGTCCATGAGCGTCATGAGTCGCTTCAGGCGAGCCGTCGACTCCTGTTCGCCGCCCTTGGAGAGGAAGTCCTGGCCGAAACCGGGAATCATACCCTGCCGGAGAGAGCGCAGCGTCGTTAGATAACATTCAGACTGCCATCACCGATGGAAGCGCGTAGGGCAATGATGAGGTAACTTCTGACTAGGTAGCGGCAAGAGCGATAATATGGAAAATTAGATGACAGAACGACGGTGTAATCTCAGACACAGTAGCTCAGGGAGCTTTATCATCGTGAAATGACTCTGGAGGCCGGGAAAATTAATCAAATGTTAAATAAACAACCATCATGCGAACTATACAAATGTAAAAAAAATCTCACAGAACGACTGCGGATGCACGTAACAATATCAGCAGCTAGTGAAGACTGTTCCTAGCAGCAGCTAGCCTATACTCCACAGTACGGCAAAAGCGACACTCGCTCCCCAGCCCTCTAGCCTTAACGTACCATGATCTGCGAGAAGGGCCCCATCTTCATGATGTTCTGAAACTGCTCGTACATGTCTCGCAGTGTGAACTCTCCGTGTTTCAGCTTCTTGATGAGCTCCTCGTTGTCCTCGAGTCCCAGGTCCTGGACGGTCTCGATCAGGCCCTCGATGTCGCCCATGCCGAGCAGTTTGGAGATGAACGGTTTGGTGCGGAACGGCTCCAGGTCGTCGATGTGCTCGCCCGTACCGATGAAGATGATCGGGGAGTTGGTCGCCGCCACGCTGGTGGAGGAGGGTGGGACCATCGTCCGTCACAAACACAAACAGCGACCGTGGTTTATCTCAGTGGGAAGAGATGACGAGGTCTGATGGTTTCTGGCCGCTCGAGTATGGACTATTTAAAGGTAAACATGTTTTAGATGCGAGGAATATTTTATCTTTATACAAAACTATGGTCATTTAGATGCTGAAAAATGTAAAAAGTGAGGATATAGTAACCCTTCTACGAAGAAAAAGACGAGAGTCGTACCAAGGGAGGCGGTTTTAGCATTTACTTTTCAGGTTTAGATCTTACAAGATTGGGGTTTTGAGACACGTCCTGAAAAAAAAACCGGTAAGACCAGGCTCAGAGCCGGTGGAGTAGTAGATCATGAGGTCAGCCGCCGCGTAGACCACTCACGCGGAGAGGGCGCCTCCTCCCTTGGCGTGGCCGTCCAGCTTTGTGATGATGACTGAGCCGACGTCCACCTTCTCCTTGAAGGCGCGCGCCTGCGGCTCGCAAGCCTGACCGATGGCGGCGTCCATCACAAACACCACGTTGTCCGGACTCTGCGCAGAATGAGCGGGAGCATGGCGTGAGGAGGCGGAATGGTGAACTTGGAGCTACCATCGATGATTCGAATGTGCAAGGGTCGGCAAGGAGATACATTGAAATAGCTCGGAGAAACACACACTGAGTAGAAGTGACAGCGAGTTCTAGTAGAGCTGCATACCAGCGTTAAATGCTGGAGAGTGAGCAGTCCGACGGCTATACATCCGTGCTAAAATTGCTAGCTAACTGACACTCGTGTCCAAGCGAGTGACGTAGGATGGCTGACGGGAACTCACCACGGCGTTGGAGACTTGCAACATCTCCTCGAAGAGGGAGTCCTCCTGCTTGTGCCGACCGGACGTGTCCACGATGATGATCTCGAAGTTGTCCGCCTTAAACTTGTCCACACCGTACTGAGCAATTACCACCGGGTCGACCTCGGTGTAACTGCAAACGGAATTCACTTGATCAGACTCGAACGGCCCAGTCCAAGAGGGTTTCGACCGATACAAAACGACACATTTGTAAATCATTTGACACATAATCAGATGAAAGAAAGTCGAAAGACAATTCAGAAGGATCATAAGGAAATAGAACTAGAGCATGCAAGGAAAATCTTATGACACTTCCTCTGCCTCATCACTTAATGCACTGTCATTCATTTTCCTTTCCCTGAAGTAGAAGCATTCTGCAGTCGGCAGCGCGTTGCTGAAAGGCTCGTGCGGTGCATATTGACACAGGCCTTGTACCGTCACCGCGTAAGCCGCCAGCCACCGCTCACCTGCCGTAGAAGGGGATCCGCGCCTTGGTGGCGTTCTGTTTCAGCTGATCGTAGGCGCCAGCTCGGAACGTATCGGCGCACACCAGACACGTGCGCCAGCCCTTCTTCATGTAGTGGTAGGCCATCTTGGTGCAGGTGGTGGTCTTGCCGGAACCTTGCAGACCGACGAACATGATGACGTTCGGCTTGCCCTTGACGGGCGTGAACGGTTTGACGCCAGGGTCCACCAGCTGCAGGGAGGGGAGAGGGGAGGGTGGAGTGTCAGGGAGCCCCAGCGGCAGGAGTGTCAGGGAGCCCCAGCGGCAGGAGTGTCAGGGAGCCCCAGCGGCAGCAGTGTCAGGGAGCCCCAGCGGCAGCAGTGTCAGGGAGCCCCAGCGGCAGTGCAGTGTAGCGGATCAAACGCCAACTGCCGGGAAGGAGGTGCGGCGATCCAAGAGTATGTGACCGAGATGAGGCGTGTGACGTTCACGTATCAGCTGCTGCCAGCATATATTCAGTCCTTATTGTAGTTAGTAACTAGAACTAGGTTTGGTCTCTAGTGTTTATGCAGCAAAGAATCCTAATCCGAAAAAAAATCAGGGAACTTGCTTTGAGGCCAAATGGTGATGGAAGACCAATTTTATGTGGAAAGGTTTAATATACTAGATGTTTATGTTTCGCAAATCGATCATTTCTGTGTCCTATTTATGGCTGTAGCTGTTGAGATTATATTAAAAATTAAACAAATTTATTGAGTAGGTCTACCCTCTCAATTTATGTTACATTACCTTGATCAGTTCCTTGAAGACGGCCGTCTGGATCATCCTCCGCTTGTTGAGGCCCGACCCCATGTCCTCAAAGTCGATGACTGAGCGGACATTTTCGCGGAGTTTCTTGACCAGGCGGATGTTGACATCGCTCTCTAGGAGGGCCGTGCAGACATCCTTCAGCATAGAGTTGAGCACCTGGGAGACACGGCAGCGGCGGTCCGGTCAGAGCTCACACATCGCAGCGGTCTGGTTAGGCAGCCCACACTCAACGCACAAGCCACAAACTGGTAACTGGTGATGTCTAAACTGCATGATAATGAGACCATCACCCAAATGAATTGTAATGAGTTGATTTCACGCCCCCCCCCCCCGTTTAACTCGGCTCCTGGGCCACGTAGCGACACGCGAAGCGGCAATCGAAAGAGCGTCAAAAATAAGGAAGAAAAATACTACAGTCATTTTTTAAAGTCAGGTCAAAAGTCAGCTCACCAGAAGTCATCAAAGGTCAAATTTAGTCCATTTCAATAACTTTGGAAACTGCCTGCGGCTAATTCGGGAACCAATAGAGCTACAGCGCCGCGGAAAAGCCCATACGATAGCCCTTTTACAGGCCTTTCTGAATGTTCTCATTTTTGATTTGGTTAATGGTTTAGCCTCCAGAGGGCAAAAAACTGTAAAAATAGCTGTTTTCACGAAACATGTTTTTCGGCACTAACTTTTAACCACAGAGAGCCACGCTATTAGGGGAGAGAGGTCATATTGCGCCACCTTAAGGATATCGGCCTATTGCGGCTAAAGTTGACCAGCTGTCATGCTTGATGATATCTCAAATTGTACCTCAGTTATTTTGGCATCAAATTACAACTCCTAATTTGTATCACACCCATAAAAATTAACAAGAGAAAAGTTTTCCGACACACCTGCAAAGGGCGCATTTACGGACTACCCCATCAAAAAGCGCCCATGCCTCTCATGTAAAAGCGCCCTATTAAAAACAACGGTTTGCCACCTAACTAAGTAGCCTATTTGAACGTGTCAGCCCATTAACCATTTATGCTGTGAAGGCTAAGGTAATGGTAAGGTGAGCGCTCTAATAATCAAAGTGTTCAATGAAATGTGTCCCAACCACCAGATGCTGTTTCTCTGGGTTGAAGAATAGGACGCAAATAGGGTGGGCGTAATTACGAATGGGACACATTTTTCATGAGCTTCAAATATGGCGAGGACAGCGAAGCCACGGTGGTGATAAACTTCCAAAACTACCATTAAACGAGCAATTCACAATGATTATTAGTTGAATTACTATCTCTAAGATAAACCATGACACTAGCAAAGGTCGAAATAGACTGTTTCGGGTAAGAAAATAGAGGAAATCACAAAAAATGGTCTGCGAGAAAGCTGAGACACCTCACCTGCCCCCGTGGACCGGAATAAGAGCGAGTTATTGGTGGTGAAGTAAATGCACACATTCGAGCATTCATTCGAATCGAATTTTGGACAGGAGGAAGGTGTGGCGCATTTAAGAACATGGCGCAATATGACCTCTCTCCCCTACTTTTGGCAGCATCGTGTCCAATGTTCCTCTTGTTGAGACGCGTCGAATGAACTATTTGTTGACCTTAAGAGGTCATTTTGAAAATTTGACCTCAGGTCAAGGTCATGACTCATGACCTGATCGGAGAGGGTCATATTGCATATCAGTTGATCCGTATCGTCGAGCTGAACACATCTGACGTGTTTTCACCGCTCTAGCACGTCTCTATCAAAAGTTATAGCAAAAAACTGCTGGTAACCATTCATGACCTGAGATGACCTTAGGGGCATACACAGGTGCATTTTTCCGATTCAGTGTGTCATGTTTACGTATGAACCGATGTTTGAGAGCGTTTTGAGCGACATTCGTCCAAGAGGCGCATTCCAATTTTCTTCCAAATTGACTTACCTATAATGGAGAGGTCGCAAAATTGACCTGACCTTAGGTCACATATATAAAAAATCTGAGATAAACATTTTATACATACTGTTACTCACATCAATCGCTGAAAGTTTCAAAGTGATCGTTCAGTCGGTGTAGCTATAGCGAGCCTTTGAACGTTTTCTGAGGTAAGGTCACTTAACGTGACCTGGTGACCTGACCTTGAATGACCCAGGTCTGAAATTTTTACAACATGTGCGGAAATGATATATGAACAGTTGTACCAAAAACAGCGGGGCTGCGCGCCGCCGTTTGTAAGATATCCGCGAAAAACCTGAGGGGGCGTAAAATGATCCCCAGCGCGGCGCGGGTTAACATGTATTTTTTACACACAAAAAAAAAAACATGAATATACTCTCAACCACTGCAGCACCATATCAAAAAAGTGAGCAAAAATCGGCAGATCAACAATAGATTGTCCTGACCAGGCAAGGAGTACCTTAGTTCTGAACAGCAATTACCCTCAATCTGATCAAAGTAATTTGTAGTTACAGAGATTGCCTCTATTCTAACCAGGGATTATCTTAGTTCTAACCAGGGTGTTTCCAGTTGTTGCAGGAGCAAATATATCAGTTCCTGGAATTACCTCAGTTGTGACCAGGAACTACCTCCATTCTGACCAGGGACTACCTCATTTCTGGTCAGGGATTACCTACCTCTTTCTGACAGGAATTACCTCAGTTTAGTTTAAGTGGGTTTACCTCAAATCTGACCATAGTGGCCTCATTTCTGACCAAGGATTACATTAGTTCTAACCAGGATGACCTAAGTAATGACCAGGGATTATCTTAGTTCTGATGCTGTGCTGCACTCAGAAATACTTCATTTCTGACCAAGGTGTCCTCAGTTCTGACCACAGTAGCCTCAGCTCTGACCAGGGATTACCTTAGTTCTAACCAAATTGACCTCAACTGTGACTTGTGGAAACTAACTACTTCAGTTCTGATCAGAATTACCTCATTTGTGACCAAGGATAACCAGAGTTTTGACCAAGGTGACCTCAGTTCTGACCAGGGATTATCTCATTACTGACCAAGATGACCTCCATTCTGACTGGGGATTACCTTATTTCTGACTCTAATGACCTCAATGGTGACAGAAATAAACTACTACTGTTTTGATCAGAATGACCTCAGTTATGGGATAGATGAACTCATTTGTGACAGGAACTACCTCATTTCTGACCAGAGATTATCTCAGCTCTAGCCACTAACCACATTAACTTCATTTCATATCAGGGATTACTTCAGCTCTAACCAGGATGACCTCAGTTCTAACAAAGGTGACATTATTTATGAACAGGCATTGCCTATATTAGTTTTGACCAGAGTGACCTCATTCCTAGCATGGGATTAGCTCAGTTCTAACCAGGGTGACCAAAGTTCTGACAAGCATGACCTCTGTTATAACCAGGCATTGCCTATATGTTTTAACCAGGGTGATCTCAGTTCTAAGTAATCAAGTTTTTTTACATCTTTGGTTTATGAATAGCATAAGCTAGAAAGGTAGGCATTTAAGATCTGCTTTAGGGATGTTTCAACTGTCAGGTGAGTTAACTAGGTGAGTCAGTTAGTATAGGTCATTATGCACATATCCAACACAGTAGGTACTGGTACAGGAGTTTTACTATCAACAAGATACTTTTAGTCACACTATGGAAGTTGGTTAAAGCTGAGTTAAACTTCTATTTATATGGGTAAATTAGCAAAATTCGGATGTGAAGTTGTGAATTTAGAAGCATACCTAATCTAAGACATCCTGCACAAATAAATGTGCAATAGCTTGCATTAGCTGAAAAGCACAGTTCCTACCTACTTTAAATCATCAAGCACAAAATCAAATGAAAACTCATCGAACAAAACATGATAGAGAGAATTACCTTGCCTGGTATTCTTACCTGGTAGGGTTCCCTTAGTCTTATTAGGATGTGATTGGGGATGGTCCGGGATGGGATAAGGAACCCAAGATTCTGAGATGCGCCAGTTCTCTGGATACACAACTGCCAATAAGGCCATCAGAGTACACACTACAACTGGAATAGAGCGTCTTCTTATGTGATAGTTGGCAACAAAATCAGTAAACTAGAGACTTGCAATGAGAAGCAAAGCATTATATTGCAATGGATGGTTACTGATAAAGAGCAAACTAATAATCAATGAGAAAAAAATGGAACCCTTTGCTGTGGTCAGACCTAGCTAATAAAAATTCAAAGTAGAAACCTATATAGTTAAAGCATGCAAGCACAAAACTAATCCCATTCTCACCTCCTCATTGATAACAGTTGCATTCCCGAGGGAGCGCAGCGCTGTGGTAATTTTTCTTCCCAAGTCTGCTAGCACCATCTTGAATGTGCTTCTTCAGTAAGGCCTTGTAATGGCCGGGATCACGGCCCTCAAAGTAGTGGAACCAAAATCAGATAGTACTGAATAATGTTGAAGCTTGCTTGAAGGATATTTCACTTTTATATTATCCAAAGATGGAAACTTTTTGGACTCCAGCCATTCAATAAATCGGTTACAACATATCATAACACTCAAAACACCATCATTTCGTTACACCAGCAAAAACAAAAAAAGAAAAGGCTTTGTAAGGGGCTTTGAATGACTTTATCCACAACAACGCGTTTATTCAATCACACACGCGCAGCCACGCAGATCCTCCCGCAAATCCCCTGATGCAAATCGTAAACAGCTGTGTTAGTGGTAGTTATGTCCTGATGCTCATTTTAGTAGTGGCCGCTAGGAAAGTCTATATTGTCGTCTTGAATTGCAATAAAAGGCTAAAGTTTCTTACTACTTGAACTTATTAAAATATATTCAGGAGCATAAATACCAAACAAAACTAATATATAGTCATATTAAATACTCAGAAGCGAGTTTACTTAATAAACCGCTAGGTGCAACCCAAGCAAACATTCCACATAATAGATCCTCAACTTTGCAAGCATCAGTCGTTCCTGAGATCAAGACCGTATTTCGGCCTAAGGATCGGACTATTGTTGGATCTAACATGGGATAATAGGATGCTGAACCCATTCATTCCTCTTGTAGCGATGGAACTTGATCTTTTTCGTGAGTGGGTTATGGAAATTGCTTTCTGTTACTTTTAAATATACTTGATTAAGGTATAGATTTTGCGCTAATGTGACATAAGTATAAGAAAATGAGGTGCTTACTTTTACAGAATAAAAATTTTGACGTCATAAATTAAAACTATTTTTTTCAATCAATTGCTAGTTAAACCTTCTTTCATTTGATGAAAATAATATTTAATATTATTTAGTATCGAATAAAATTTATTTTAAACATTTCAGTCAAAATTCGAAATTGTTTTTTGAAAAAATAAAGTGAAACCGTCAATGGCTTGTGACGTCAAACAACCAAAACACAAGACAAGTTACCGCAGTTTACCGAAGTTACCGAAGTTACCCGAAGCCTCGCCGCCTTGGTTTCGGCCTTGCTCTTGCCCCCGGATGGATGGTTGGAATTAATGATTATTTTGTTAACCCCTGAAGTTGGACGCAAGAGCCAAGCTGCTACGCGCCCTAAACCAAAACAACAACAACAACTTTACCCCTGAAAAATTCCCATTCGGTTTTTCCCCGCGTCACGCGTGCACACCTGTGGGCTGTGAACACAAGTAAGGTAATTTTTTCATTTTCTTTTTTCCAGTTCAGTTGGGGAACTACGAGGCGAAAGTAAAAAAATTGATTGGTCAATAAATGGACTTTTGATGACCATATATGGGCATAAATGCAGCCCTCGCTACTAAGGGTGAAAAACGGTATAACAAGCCGGTACTTGCGGTATCGCGTCCACTTCTCGGAGAGAAAAGGCTTCCATTTTTCACTAGGAATTAGCGTGATTTGATTAAATTCGGCGAATTGACTCGAAAATGGCGATAGGAAAACGGCTTTTCTGCAGGTTCTGGGCGTCACAATCAGCTGGCCATTCAATAAATGGATTGGTTTTATGAAAGAAAATTGTTAAAAGATTTAATTTAATTACAATAAACAAAGACATTTAATTTGAAAATAATAACTTAACCACAAATAGAAAAACCATAAACAAAAAAATAAAAATAATGACATTTTTAACCACGGTACTGCTTACATTTTGTGGCGCGTCTGTTTCAATCTGCCATATTTGCCAATCACTTATTGACCTTGTGTTGTAACTCTGCGATTTAGAACCGCCAGTTAATTGTGCACCGAGTGAGTGTGGGCCTTGTGTGGTTAAAAAACATTCTTATGCCTTATTTTTTCATTTGAATGCTAGGATGCATTGAAAAGATGAAGTTGTCTGATTTTATGACCATATATGGTCATCGCCCCACCCACTCCAGCTGTTGATTGGCTAATCCAATTTTTGTTTGGCTCCTCGTAGTTTCCCCAACTGAGTTCCTTGCCCCGCGCAAGCATAGTTACTCTGTGAAGTTTCCATTTTTACTTCCGATTACTACCTACAATAGGTGAGGTAGGTACCTAGGTACTTGCACGGTCGAATCATCAACCTTGGGTTCGACTAATCAGTGATAATTTTCTGGGATCACCTGTATTTTTTTTTTTTTTTTTTTGGTATTGCAGCGACCATCGATGCTGATGCAAATAGTTAATGTTTAGCTTGTTTTTGCTTCAACTTCACAAATGCTTCTTACTCATTGCCATGTCTGTTGCGCACGGTGTCAGCCTAAAACGCTGAATAATCCCGACGATCCTGGAAAATTATCTCTGCGTAGTGCTTATCTGGGTGTCGAACGCATGTCAAATATCCTGAGGGGTGTTCACGGGCACTGCAAACTGCTGAGTCCGATGTGTGCGCTGTGCAGCAGGCGTGGGGGTAGGGGATGGGTAGGCGGTTTTGACGTCACGGCTGCATGCGATGGGCTGTCCCTGTAGCCGGTTACGAGCGGTAGACTCGCTGTGTGCCGGACGGCGAGCTGACCGATCGGCTGAAGTTAGTGCCACCTGGCGACCCGACGCGATGGGGATGCGGGACATGATTGGATGAAATTTATAGCCGCTTTCGGCCATTTTAGGCATGGTCCATGACCTTGCACTTAGTGAAGTCATTCGAATCACACCCGTGCTGCTGCATCCCGGGTATCAGGTCAATAAACTGAAGGAAACTGTTTGACTAAACTGTGTCTATGTCTGACTTTATGCCAACCTACCTGAATGTTTATGCCAGCAGGTGGCTTTGTAGCAGCTCTGCAGCCTCATAGTCCCTGGCCTGTCATGAGTCGCATCATCCGCTCCTGTCGCTCGGTCGGTGCTGCATCGGCCAGGCTGGGCCAGCATGAGGCGACACCGGCCATCGCTAGTTACCAGGTGAGTCCAATCAGTTTCTAGGAACTTGCCATTGAAGCACTTACTTGAAGAGGCACAGTGACATCGACACACGTCTCGCATCTCGTACAAGTCGACGATGTGTGTCAATGTGTGTGTGTGTGTGGGCGCACGCGCGCGCGCGTGCGTTGGTGTGCATCAACCAGATCAGTCGGTGACGCGGCGCCTCGTGACGTTCTTTTCTCCAGCGCCGCCACCTGAGCGGGCAGCAGGCGCCGCAGCGACCACAGGGCTTCATAGGCAAACTGATTGACAACATCAAACAGGAGTATGAAAAGAATAAAGAGATGAAGGAGAGCCTCGAGAAGTTCAAAAAGGAGGCGGAGAAGCTGGAACAGTCCGAGGCACTCAAGAAGGCCCGGTAGGTTGGGACTGGAGTAGCCAATGATTAAAAGGCCGAACTTGTTTCTGCGTATGCCAAAAAATTACATTTTATGTCATTTCTTTGTTGTTTCTTCCTTGATTTGCGAAGGAATATACTTTGTATGAGTGCAACGTAAAATACGAGGCGGAAATTACGTTTAGGGATGATCCGTTGTACCTTAATTACGTTTATTCATATTCAATGTTTCTTCCTACACCTAGTGGCTTCGTCTGATACACTTCTATGCCAACAGTGAAAAGTACGAACGGTTGGAATCAGAAACTGGCGAAGGGTCGAAGCTTGTTCAGGAGAGACTGGCTTCCCTCAAGAAGAAACTGGGGGAAACGATTGACGAGGCGCAAAAACTGGAGCTGATCAAAAAAGCCAGTACGTGCCCTTGAGTCTGAATATTTAATAATCTGTAGGCATGGTCCATGTTAACATGTGTTTCGATCAAAGAACGTCACAAGTTAGCTTATGCTCCTCAGTTTCTCACAGCCCAGCTGATGGGCGCCCTGCGCCACTGCCCGTTTCCTCCATCTGACGGAGGCCCCTTCCCCGTTCCTGCAGCCCAGCTGACGGAGGCCCCTTCCCCGTTCCTGCAGCCCAGCTGACGGAGGCCCCTTCCCCGTTCCTGCAGCCCAGCTGACGGAGGCGATGAACAGACAGGCGCGTCAGACGGCAGAGGGCCTGGCCGAGAAGGGCGAGAAGCTCGGAAAGTCGGCCACCTTCCAGACCCTCTCTGACACGGCGCGCGCGGTCAAACAGGAGATCGACGACAGCACCATCGGCAGCCCGGGCGTAAGTCGCCCTGCTCCCTCCCCCCCCCCCCTCCCCCACCGTACGGAGTACGGGCGTTAGTCACCGCCGTCCTCCCGTCCCTGCCTCCGCCCCGTCCGGTGGTAAGCTGCTGCCGCCGGCCACCTGCCCGCTACCGCTGACACGGTAACCCGACACAAGATCGTAAAGCAAAAGATCGTAAGGCAGAAGATCGTAGGAAGTTGATCGTATGCAAAATATCGTAATGAATAAAGATCGTACGACATAATAATATGGACAAAAGATCGTATTCGCTAAAGATCGCCAAGTTGGGCGCAAAATGACCTCGCAGTCGGCGCGCCCCTAACCCCCAACAAACAAACAATCAAACAAACAAACAAACAAAGATCGTCAAGGAAAATGATCTTATGCCAAAAAGTCGTATGGGATAAATATCGTACGGCATAATGATCGTATGTCAAAAGATCGTATGGGATAAAGATGGTACAGTAAAATGTTAGTAATTATGGACGAAAGGTCGTCTTCGCACTAGATCGTTGAGGTAAATGATCTTACGCCAAATGATCGTATGAGTTAAAGATCGTACAGTCAAAATCTGGTATCCACATGGTGCAACCCAACTCCAGAGCACAAAAAGCTTATCAATTTCTGTGTTCACGTCGTAAGTGGCCGTCATAAGCTCGACCATACAATGATGTCGTGTCAGAGCTTAGATGGCTCAATGGCACCTAAAAGCAACGCGTTGTATATGTGCCGAATAAATGAATGTATGTGCAGCCGTTTTCATGTATTTGAAGTGTATATAAATTATAACTAAACCGATGTTCAGTCGGAAGGGACGTCATGCATAAGCCAAAATGAAAACATATGCCTACTGTGTAGCAGTATTCTCTCGTAACTGTTCGCAGTGATGACATTTCACTCTGATGCTTTCATAAGCTATTGGAATGAAAAATGGACGCTGCCTTGAATAGCCTTATTATGAATAGCCCACTAAAAAATAGTACGATATTATTGATAACATGTGAAATGTGAGGGCTCTCTTTGGCATAGAGGGCACACCCAGCCGTGAGGGGCACACCTATGCATGTGACCCCGATGTTTTTTTTCTTTCTGAAATCCACACCCATGCTCTAGCATCGAAGCCCATGGTAATCACACTCCAAATAATGAATTTCTTGATATAATTGTGGGCATGACAACTTTCAAAGTTGGCGGATAACATGACGTCATTAATATTCCTAATTTTTAGGTATATCCATGATTTTATCAGATGACTTAAATTTTAAGCATGGGTGTGGATTTGTTTATCATTGGGGGTGCTTCATCACCCCCAATGCTTGTTTCAACACCTCCAATAAGACTTGAGCACCCCAACAGGGGCACCCCACAGGCCACAGCAGCACACGCACGTGGCGTTTTTTTCGTAAAATGTTTGCGACTAACGCTCTTTATCCTACAAACATTTACCTACAATATTATTCTATACGATTATTTACTTTACGAACTTATCGTCACGATCTTTTGTCATACGATCTTTAACAACATACGATCTTTATCTTACGATCATTTATAAACTATCTTTAGCTTCCATACGATCCATACGATCCTTTGCTTTACGATCTTTAGCTTACGACCTTTGGTCTTACGATCTTTGCGACGTACGATATTTATCTTACGATCATTTTCCTACGATATTTTCCATACTATCTTGCTTTACGATCCTTTGCTTACGATTTTTAGTTACGATCTTTTGCGACATACGATCTTCATCCTACGATCATTTCCTACGATCTTATTCCATAGGACAATTTTCTTTACGAGCTTTTGCTTACGATCTTTTGTCGTACGATCTTTTACAACATGCGATCTTTATCTTACGATCATTTTCCTACTATCTTTTTCCATACGATCTTTTGTCTTCAGATCTTTTGTCACGTAATCGCTGACACTGCAACCAGACTGCACCAACAGCTCGGGTAGCCCTGGGCGTCTCGATTCCTTGTCCAGTTTGGCTTTCAGATGGTGATGACGGATTAACGCATACCTAGATCCTGGATTTTCGCATCGTGGGGATCCATTTCCTGACCTGTTTGACCTAACCCTGACGGTCTTGTTTGAATCGCCCTCGGGCTCTCAGGACCTCAATCAGTGTCCCGAGTGTCCCATTTCCGTAGGATTCTCGAGCCCTGCTGCGTGCCAAACTCCCCTCAGGGTATCAGAATCTCTCCTCGGACCCCCGGACCCACCGTCAGTCGATAAACCCACGAACCGTCTCCAGGTGTACCGGGCGCCCAAGGTTCTCCGGAAGCGGAAGAGTGACGCTCCAGCGGCAGAGGACGACCGCGTGGTGGCCGCTGACTCGGAGACGACCGGTGTTGAGCTGCACAAGGACTCGCGCTTCTACGCCAGCTGGCAGAACTTCAAGGTGAGCGCCATTGTGGCACACTGGTTCATTGTCTCGTTTTTCATTCGGTATTCTTTTATTTTATTTTTAACACGATATGCATCTTTATTTCTAGAGTAGTTCAACAATCTAATCCAGCGTTATATTAGTGAACGGTATCCTTTGTAGAATCGGTTGTTGGCGGTCATATTAACGTCGCATCGCGCTTAGGAGAGCTTTGATATGTTTTTTGACCGTGCTTGTGCTCATGAGATGTGAGTACGCTGTGTTATGTAATACCGTTGTTATGTTTCTGTCATTGCTAATGTAATATCATGCCTCGCAGGACAATAACGCGTACGTACATAAAGTGATGGACTGGAAGACGAAATACGACGAGAGCGACAACGCAGTGCTGCGAGCCTCCAAGCTGCTGACGGAGAAAGTCAGCGACATCATGGGCGGCCTGTTTCAGCGGACAGAGCTCTCCGAGGTCAGTCATCCGGGCTCGAGGCTGTAGCCATCGAGTTAGTCGTCGTTCCGGGGGGGAGGGGGGGGGGGGGGGGTTGTCGGGCGGGACAGTTGTCGGTTATTGGTTGTTGACATGTTTGTCGATACTCGTGGTTTACGTACGTACGTAGGACGGTACGGTCTAATATGGACACACACGTAGGACGTTATGCACAACGTTTCGCACATAGGACGTCACGGTGGCACATTCCCATATTGTAGATTCTACACGGTTGCGGAGTACGGTCAACTGCAGTGCACCCTGCCCGGCTGTACGTACTCGCTCCGTCCTCTCTGCCGTGTGTGACCCACCATTACTTTGTGACCGTCCTATCCCGTCCCGTCACAACTACAGGTCCTCACAGAGATCTGCAAGATGGACCCGACGTTCGAGAAGGACGCCTTTCTGCGCGACTGCGAGCACGACATCATCCCGAACATCCTGGAGGCGATGATTCGCGGCGACCTGGACGTGCTGCAGGACTGGTGCTACGAAGCCACCTTCAACGTGCTGGCGCAGCCGATCCGCACGGCGCGCCAGCTCGGCTACCACTACGACTCCAAGGTGCTGGACGTGGACAATGTGGACCTGGCCATGGGCAAGATGATGGACCAGGGCCCGGTGCTCATCATCACGTTCACCTCGCAGCAGATTCTCTGTGTGCGGGACGCTAAGGAGAACGTGATCGAGGGCGACCCGAACAAGATCATGCGGGTGAACTACGTGTGGGTGTTGTGCCGCGACCAGACGGAGCTGGACCCGCGCGCCGCCTGGCGACTGCTCGAATTATCCGCCAGTAGCACCGAGCAGCTGGTATAGCGGGACCGGATGTGTCGCACCCAGGGTATGTGTGTGTGATAAAGGGCCGCCGACAGTGGTCTGTCCTTAGGTAATCATCGGTCAGGTGTCTCCAATAGGAGGTTCGGAGCTGCCGACGGGGTGCCGTCACTCCGGCCAACCGCAGTGCAATGTCCGCAGCGGTGCCTCGCCGCTGTACCGTGTTATTACGCGCGTGTGGAGGCTTACCTGAGGGCGACCTGTGCGGGGCGCGCTCGCGGTGGCTCGGGCGTTCTCATCTCCCGCACCGCGAGCGGGGCCGGGGGTAGGGGTCGAGCCGCGCCAACGCGACAGAAGCAGTGTCTGTGACTCGTGTCTGTAGGGCATGTATGTGCGTAAGGGGAGATATGATCGCATTGACCATAGAATGTTCTGCCCAACTGACTGACAAATATACTGATACATGTTATTTGTAAACTTGGCGAGTTGCAATGTAAGAAACTAGTTACAGAATCCGAACTCCAAAAAGCTGCTGGGTCAGAGACCGGAGCAGTGCTGAGTGTGCAATACTTGTTGCAATACTTGTGCAATATCTGTATCAACTTGGATAATTACAGCGCATGTGTAACCAATGATCTTGACGTGAGCAAGGACGTGAGATCGTTTTGCCTTCATGTTAGCTATATATAAACGCAGCGTAGTCTTTGATGTAAATCTTTGATCGTAGTCTTTGTCTCTTTGAAAAGTTATAAAGATGAAAATATGCGATAATTGTGAGACCGCGGAGACTAGTAAGTTAACGCACCTTGGCAAACGCTAAACTTGCTAAGATTCTTGCAGATAATACTTGCACTATACCAACACTATCTTGACTATGGACAACACTATTCGACCGCCACCCTTGCAGCCATTCTATAACTCAGGAACTACTGGACCGATCGGAACGAATGAAACACCATTCGAATCAGGGGGTACGATTTTATCAGCCGTTTCGAAGCTAGTGACCCCAGGTGACCTCAGTGACCTCAAGAGGTCAACTCGGCACTGACGCCTATTGCAGCCATTCTATAACTCAGGAACTACTGGGCCGATCGCGACGGAAACACCACCAGTCGAATCAGCGTATGCGATTTCATCAGCCGTTTCGAATATGGTGACCTCAGGTGACCTTGGTGACCTCAAAAGGTCAACTTTACGTTTTCGCCTATTGCAGTCATTCTATAACTCAGGAACTACTGGGCCGATCGTGACGAAAACACCACCAGTCGATTCAGCGTATGCGATTTCATCAGCCGTTTTGAATATGGTGACCTCAGGTGTCCTCGGTGACCTCAAAAGGTCAACTTTACGTTTTCGCCTATTGCAGCCATTCTATAACTCAGGAACTACTAGGCCGATCGTGACGAAAACACCACCAGTCGATTCAGCGTATGCGATTTCATCAGCCGTTTTGAATATGGTGACCTCAGGTGACCTCGGTGACCTTGGGAGGTCACATGACCAATGTGGCCTATGGCAGCCATTCTATAACTCAGGAACTACTGGGCCGATCGTGACGAAAACACCACCAGTCGATTCAGCGTATGCGATTTCATCAGCCGTTTCGAATATGGTGACCTCAGGTGACCTCGGTGACCTTGGGAGGTCACATGACCGTTGTGGCCTATGGCAACCATTCTATAACTCAGGAACTACCGGGCCGATCGTGACGAAAACACCACCAATCGATTCCGCGTATGCGATTTCATCAGCCGTTATGAATATGGTGACCTCAGGTGACCTCGGTGACCTCAAAAGGTCAACTTTACGTTTTCGCCTATTGCAGCCATTCTATAACTCAGGAACTACTGGGCCGATCGTGACGAAAACACCACCAGTCGATTAAGCGTATGCGATTTCATCAGCCGTTTTGAATATGGTGACCTCAGGTGACCTCGGTGACCTTGGGAGGTCACATGATCAATGTGGCCTATGGCAGCCATTCTATAACTCAGGAACTACTGGGCCGATCGTGACGAAAACACCACCAGTCGATTCAGCGTATGCGATTTCATCTACCTTTTTGAATATGGTGACCTCAGGTGACCTCGGTGACCTTGGGAGGTCACATGACCGTTGTACGCCACATTGGTCATGTGACCTCCCAAGGTCACCGAGGTCACCTGAGGTCACCATATTCGAAACGGCTGATGAAATCGCATACGCTGATTCGACTGGTGGTGTTTTCGTCACGATCGGGCCATCGGCCCTGTAGTTCCTGTGTTGTAGAATGGCTGCCATAGGCCACATTGGTCATGTGACCTCCCAAGGTCACCGAGGTCACCTGAGGTCACCATATTCGAAACGGCTGATGAAATCGCATACGCTGAATCGACTGGCGGTGTTTTCGTCACGATCGGCCCAGCAGTTCTTGAGTTATAGAATGGCTGCAATAGGCGTCAATGCCGAGTTGACCTCTTGAGGTCACCGAGGTCACCTGGGGTCACGAGCTTCGAAACGGCTGATAAAATCGTACCTCCTGATTCGAATGGTGTTTCGTTCGTTCCGATCGGTCCAGTAGTTCCTGAGTTATAGAATGGCTGCAAGGGTGGCGGTCGAATAGTGTTGTCCCTTGACTATACACTCCACACCGTAAAACAGAGACAACTCTGACGCAGGACGTCTGAAAATGAAGCGCTCTAAATCCTTTGTCTGTAAGGTCGATTTTATTGCGTTCCAGCACCGTGCTAGCGCACTTATGATGTGTCGCAGTAACGACGGTGCTGCCGCAATGTTTTTGCATAAACGACAAAGCGATAGGAGCGCAATTGGCAAGGCCGACCTTGGGACGAAGACTCGGGACTAGTTAGCAACAGGAATCGTTTTGTAAAAGTAGGTGCAAGTCCGATGAATTGCTGAATTAGTCGAAGAATACAACACTAGTTGGAAGAGGTTAGTGGTCATACTTATTAATATACATACACTGTTGCTGTGGTCGACTGGTCGTACACCTTGCGTATGTACACCTCCAAACCAAAATGGGCTGTAAAGAGCGTAATCAACATGCACCTCAAAGAAATGTTTGCGGCAAAGCAGGCACGCTTGGCTGTTCCGTGTTGGCATAGCAGGCGTGGATGGATATGTTGACTTCATTGGTGTGACACATGTGCAGTGTGTGCTGGTCGCTTTCAGGGGTATTTCTACGGTGGCAGGTTTAGGGGATATCCAACCCTGAAACGCACACCTTTATTGAACTAGGCTGTGTTAATAAAGTCAAATTATTGGGGGTCCGGACCCCCGCGACCCCACCGATGGCGGAGACCCTTGTCACTTTCATTGGAATAAGTATGGCAATTGAGAATGCTAGCCTACACGCTAATATTTCACGGGAACGGAACGTGCAGCTGCAATGCATGCTTCTTTAATGAAAATAGCTGACTCTGGTTAATAAAACTGCTGCTTAATAAATCCAAAACACCTTGTCACCGAGGTGGATTTATCAAGCGGATTCCACTGTATGTTCTTCCCAGATTAAAATGTAGAAAATATATAATCTTTTTTATACAAAGGATAAATGATAATTGTATTTCCTGATTATTCTGAGCAGAAAATCAAATCCATTGAAAAACCTAATTTCAGGGAAGTGAACTCTTTCCTTTAAATAACTGGTAGAATCAACAACTGACCTTTCACTGGTTTTAGCCGGGCAGAAGTTTTTAATGAGAAGACCAAGATTGATGACCTTTCTGATGACTCAGGGCAGACTGTGAGAGATGACATGGGAAAGGCACAATTCCTGAATGTTTTTTTCAGTACCGTAAAATGGGGTGTTAAGGGACAGTTTTGAGGTGTTTTGTTTTATAACTCGAGAAGGGTTGGAGATAGAAGCATCATATTGTCAGCATTTTATGTGGAATTTGGTGCTTTTCATGCCTGCTACATTAAAGTTTTAAAATATATACCTGCATATTATTTTTTATTATTTTTTGTCACTGTCCCGTAGCACCCCAATGTGGGGTGTTAAGGGACACCTATATTATTCCAAGAAATGGTCATCAAATGCCCACAATTGGGGTGTGAAAGGGCACATAATGTATTCATTGAAATGTTTCGCATATTCTATCACAAAACAAGTCAGGTTCACTCACCACTAATGACCCTTTAAGCCAATTACATGTAATGCTGTTTACGCTTCTGGAAAATGTGCTAATTATAAGGTAAACAGAACCAAAAAGTACCCTTCTGTCATCAACAAAAACCCATTTTCAAGCTAGTCACTTATCATTATGTTGCCATCTTTGTTTTGGCCTTTTTATGATGACATCACATTTACCTACATCAGTCTTCATTGACCTATCATTGTAAAAGAGTGTGTCAAGGGAGTTTTGAGGTGTTTTGTTAAATAACTTGAGATGTGTTAGAGATAAAAGCATGAACTTGCCATTATTTTATGTGGAATTTAGTGTTTTCCATGCCTACTGAAAGAAAATTTTATGAAATTATATTTAGATATTATTTTTAATTTTTTCTTCCCTGTCCCTTAGCACCCCACATCCACCTCAAAATATGCATGTGTCCGGAAAAGAGGAAGAGGATGATGAATAAATGGGTGGATTTGTATAACTTTTTCAGGAAACATGTGCAGTACATGTGGCAATACACCTATGCATTCATTTTCCCTGTACACCTACTAGTTTATGTGGTACACACAGAGTTTTGGAGATGTTTCAATTTCATGAAAATGTAGCATGATTTTCAAAACCATTTTTGAACCAAATCACTTGCATGAAAAACCACTCCATTTTGTCCTATAGTCGAGAACAAAACAGTGTCAACTACCACACTCAAGTTTTTATTTAACCTTCTCAAATTAGGAACTTAATATGACTCAAAGTTTTTCCCACGCAACTGTCCCTTAGCACCCCACTGTCCCTTAACACCCCGTTTTACGGTAGTATATTCACTGGTGAAGATACAACCGAGATTCCGGAACCGACGGCCAACTTCTCAGGTCCTCCAATCGAGTCAATTTGCATAACAGCTGAGGCAGTCCGGAACAAGCTTTCCTCTCTCAAAACGGGCAGCACTCCTGGTCCTGATGATTTGCATCCCAAGCTTCTGCAGTTGGCGTCTCAGTCCTTGGCTGGTCCATTGGCTTCCCTGTTTGAAGCTTCCTGGACCAAGGAGTCCTTCCGGCCTCATGGAAAACAGTGTCAGTCTTTCCCATACACAAGAAGGGTAATAAGCAGACCCCGGGGAATTACCGGCCCATCAGTCTCACGTCAATCCCTGGTAAGATCATGGAGTCCCAGATCCGTGATGAGCTCATGGAGTTTCTGTCCTTCACAAACCAGTTATCCAGACACCAAGTGACCAACATGGCTTCGACCCAGATCATGCAGTTCACAACTTCTGGAGGTATTGGAGGACTGGTGTAAGATAATCGAGGAAGGTGACCCAGTTGATGTGGTGTGCCTGGACCTCCGCAAGGCCTTCGACGCTGTTCCACACAACCGACTTCTGAGGAAGCTGCGCAGCTACGGTATCTCTGGCAAACTCCTCCGATGGATCGAGGCATTCCTGTCGTGAAGAAACCAGAAAGTCGTTGTCAATGGAAGCCACTCTGATCTGGTTCCTGTCGAGAGTGGAGCTCCTCAGGGTTCGGTTCTTGGTCCCCTCTTGTTCCTGCTGTATGTCAATGACATCCCATCTGCCGTTAACTGTACAATCAATATGTTCGCCGACGACACAAAGGTCTACAGCGGCGTATCCAGGCAGAACGTCAAAGACCGCCAGGATGATGCAACAGAGGCCGTAGGGCCGGCTGTCGCTCGTCCCAGAGCTGTCAGGGACCACTCTACTCGACCAGTGCAACCTGTTGACGGAGGGCAGAACCAGAGCGGCAGAGATGCCCAACTTCAGGCAGCTGAGGTTGGACTTGGAGGGCTGGCTGTTGCTCAACCCAGAGCTGTCAGTGACCACCCTACTCGACCAATGCAGCCTGTTGATGGAGGACATACCGCCACTCGACCTCAAACCTCCCTACTGGCTGATGGCGCAGCGACTTCAACGGGAGCGCAAGCCCTCCAAGCTGATATTGATGCTCTTGTGGCATGGTCTGACAAATGGCAGCTCCCGTTCAATGAAGAGAAGTGTAAGGTTCTGCATCTGGGTACAAATAATCCCAAACTCCGATACACAATGCGAGGAGTGTGTCTGGAAGAGACTGAATCTGAACAGGACCTTGGCATTCTGGTAGACACCTTCCTAAAATTCCGGAGGCAAGCATCTGCAGCCGTGGCAAAGGCCAACCAGATCTTAGCAGTGATCAGGCGGTCGTTCGAACTGATTGCTGAGTGTACTCTTCCCCTGCTATACAAGAATCTAGTTCGCCCTCACCTGGAGTTTGGCAATGTAGCTTGGGGCCCATTCAATCGAGCTGATCAACTTCTAGTCGAACGCGTCCAAAGAAGGGCAACCCGCCTGGTAGCCTCTCTCAGACACCGCCGGTACGAGAAACGACTGGAGGCACTGAAACTGCCATCGCTGTTTTATCGGCGACGCCGAGGTGATATGATCCAGGTGTACCAAATCTTTCATGGAGGGGTTGATCTGGCTCCAGAAGAGTTCTTTACTGCCGCTCTATCCGACCGCACCCGAGGCCATCCATGGAAAATCACAAAACCCAGAGCTGAGTCAAGACCAAGGAGACAGGCTTTCAGTCCCCGGGTGGTCAATGACTGGAACGGTCTGCCCATGTCAGTGGTTGGCGCCGGCTCTGTTGAGCAGTTCAAATCTGAACTCGACGCCCAGTGGGCAAACTTCAGGTACCTGGTACCTGACTGGAGATAGTCAAGTCTCAAAGGATTCGAGCCCGATGAGAACGGTTCCCTACAGGACAAGTGGCCTTTAAAATTCCGATCAAATTAAGGTAAGCTAAGGTAAGGTAAGGAGTGCATAACTGCATACTCACCAGTAGCCCCTGTCAGATGGTCCCCCATGCAGACGCTCACGATCCTCACCCAGAAAAGGTTGAAAACGCTTCAATTGATCATACTTCTTACGTGAGTCTTGAACTGAAATGCATAGGGCTTATAACAGCCATCAATTGTAGCTAAGTAAGAGGGCCTGTTGCAACACCTCCAGTAGAAATTCTTGACTTGAGGCTCTTCTACTTTTACTGGAGGCACAGGAATGCAATCACGAGATTTCTGGCGATTGATGACAGGGTTAAACATCCTTAAAAGTTGGGAATAGTTGACTTTCACGAAATTAGTTTTTTTTTTGCAATGGATTTATGATTTTTTGTATGCTCAAAATGATCAGCAAAGAAAATAAAACTTTTTTTTATAAAATAAATTATTTTCTATATGTTAATGTAGGAAGAACTATACAGTTTTAAAAGAGGGAAATGACCCCTGCAAGGCACTAGTGATGTCAATTACGGAAAATCGGAATACCGATACCAAACCAATTACCAACCAAAACCGTGGAGAAATACCGAAACCAAACCAACTTGGGAACATGAGGAAAATACCAACTTTTTACCGATTCCTTAGCCTCTTAAACATTAGCGAGGGTTCATGATACCAACAAAATACCAAACACATTAGGATTGAAATACCAAATACCGAGTTGGTATCGGTATACCAAAAAGTCGGTATCCGATTGACATCTCTACAAGGCACGCATCTCCTCAGCAAGACAGTTTTTCGGGACTAGAAATGGAATATCTTTGCCTAGTGTGAGCGTTGGGCCGTAAAAGCTCCTGATTTGTGCTTGTCTCAGCTCAAGCTACGGAACTGCTATTCCAGTTCAAAAACCCATGTTTAAAGTGATCTACAGGGTGTCCGAAAAATAATGTCACACCTTAGTCCAGCGTCAATTTCATGAAAATAACAAACATGAGAGGCGCGCTTTTCTTACATATGCATCCAACCTTCTCCCTGATGAGGGCAAGCATACGGTCCGGGACATCAGACATCAACATGTCTAGCTTCTGTGGACTGATCTTGGACCAGACAGATCGAACGTTCCTGGTCAGCGTGCGTTCAGGTTATCCTGGCGCCGTTTTGCTCACCTCTTACAGGACAATCGCCCACAGATTGTCTATCGGCGATAGGTCGCGGCTATTCACCGGCCATTTGTCCTTCTCCCAGAATGCTGGCCGCTGGGAAATTCGATCTGTACCAGTCCTTCGTCGTTCTAGCTCGATGAGCCGGGGCGCCGACTTGTTGAAAGATGGCCCTGAACATGTTCAGCAGAAGTTTTCGGCTGGAGACGTGGCTTGGTGGGCTTCAGCTTTAGAGACATTCTCCCGGGTCAGGGTCACAAAAATTCGAAGGTCACGTGACTAGAATGTAGCCAATATGGTCTGGGAGCCAGTACCGGTGAAATTATATTGATATTGCGCAGTAGAAGGCGAAACAAAGATTGTGGGAGGGTGTGACATTAATTTTTGGACACCCTGTATTTTCTTTAGTTATCACTAGTGCCTACTGGACTACATGATGTTCTGCAGTCCATGTTTACACCGGGTGCTATGTCATAAGTGGTAGGTCTTAAAAGGTCATGAAAGGTCCTTTTTGGCAGGTCACCAGCGGTCACCTGCCAAGCGAGTCACCAGGAAAGTCAGTTCACAATGGAGGACGTGGACCAGACACAAGCTCTGGTTCGCAAGAGGCGGGACTTTTTTGATGCAGCGGAAGCGTGTTCGGGCAAATACGGCGATGACAAGACCGAGTGTCTGTGTGAGCACGGCGAGGACTTCTGGTGCGACCACTGGGAGAGCAGCGCTGATTTCAGCGAGCTCGCGATGGTCGTCTCGGCCGTCATTGTCTTTTTGCTGTTTCTCTCCTGCCTGTTCTGCATCTGCCGCCGCCGGCGGCGCGGCTTTGTCTTCCGCTCGCCGTCCGGCAGGTCAGTGGCTTCTCACGACCGACGACCGCGCACTCCAGTAGCAATGCTGGTCTTAAACTGCTGATGCTATGTTATCAGTCAGGGTAATTGTCACTCAGTATATATTCTGTCCCTATCTGTCTGATGTGTTACAATCTGTCAGTATATTCTGTCCCTCAGTGTAAAATTGTCCCAAAATGCGTGTATTTACTCTAGAAATGACTGGTTTGTGATCATTTTCAGGACGGTTACTTCGACCACATCTGTGGTTCAGCCGCCCCTCCAGTCGCACGGACCAGCCGCCTCGCACGTGCCAGGCACTTCCTTCTCCAGCCCGACGCAGATGTGGCTCCCGCCGGGGGAGGGCGGCTTTCCCCAGCCGCCGGCGGGCTACTCGCAACCGTCTACGGGATACCAGCAGCCTCAAAGCGGATACCCACAGCAACAGGGCAGCTACCCACCCCAGGGCGGTTACCCACAGCAGCAGGGAGCCTACCCACCCCAGGGCGGTTACCCACAGCAGCAGGGAGGCTACCCACAGCAGCAGGGAGGCTATCCTCCCCAGCAGGGAGGCTATCCTCCCCAGCAGGGAGGCTACCCACCCCAGGGCGGTCACTCATCCCAGGTCGGTTTCGCTCACGCGCCGCCCCCCTCTGGCGGAGCTGACCTGCCCCCACCGTACGACGCTGTCACCGGCCGCCAGCCGCCCTTCAACCCCAACTTCCAGGAAGGCGGCGACACGAAGCGGCCAATGTAGATGGCTGACCGTCGCTCTGTTGGCAGGGTCTGCCCCTCCCACCCCCAAATACTACTCAGTCGGACCGGGGCGGGGACGGTGCCCGGCGATACTGTCGTATCTGTGAGAAGAGGACTCGTGCAGCCTGCTGTGGCTGGTTATTGTGTGCGATCTGCCAGAGCTATGCTTGTGTGGTGCACAGCTCGCAGTGGACTGAAAATCGGTTTCCTCTTCTCTGGGAGTAAATTGTGTATGCAGAATGTATTGTGCTTTCAAAAGAATCCTCAATTTCGTGTGCTGAGCAAGCAACGTTACCAAGCCTACTCACGAAGTGTCTGGCGAACCCGTCAGATGCGCGCTTCCACTGCAGTTATACTATACAGTTATATATAGTAGGTTCATTGTACTGCGTTCCTGTTGAAGGACTCCATATACGTGCTGATGAGACACCGAGTCCCTGCTTGGTGCTTATTGGGGTGTACGTCATCTTTGGATCGGTTTTATGGATGAACATGTGCATGTGAGGATCGAAGGAGGTCGCCATTTTCAATTTATAAGCGTCACGCTTTCTTTTCATCGCGTATCGGAAGTGTCACGCTTTCATGCTGTCGTAAGTTTGAAGAACACATTGAACCATTTTAGATTGAACCGAAACAGGGATCCTATGCTTAGTTTGTTGCGTAGCACCAGCCTGGGGTTCATGTAGGGATAGTACTTTTTAGTACTTTTTCCTTTTTCGAGAAACAACAGTCGCTAAAACTAAAAGAAGCAGTATAATCACTTCTGAAAAAGTACTATCCCTACATTTTAGATTGGACGTGCTGTGTGGTTGATATAAGTCACACTCGTCGCCAGTCGGGCTGTGGCTGACTTCCATAGGTACCCTGGAAGGGCGAAGGTTGTGGAACGGGCTGCTCGTGTTAGGTTATGTAGGGTTGCACAGGTCCAACGCCTCTTGGCTGCCGGTACTGCCAAGGGAGGCATAAAAGCCGGGACTCAGTGTGGCTTACGTGATGTCCGCTAATACGCTGTTGAATCTCGTGGCAAATGTTTAAACATGAATACATAGACGGAGCTTTTGAAACAGTGTGTGTGTGTCGTCTGAGACATATGGGGAGTCATCTGGATGAGGGAGGAGGGTCCAAACACTCGCCACGTATCCTCGTGTAGGGGGGGGGGAGGGATACATAACCTAACGGCAAAATCAACAGGCTAGGGCCCTAGTCTGTAGACGGATGGCCAACGTTGGTTATCTGAAGTCGGGAAAGAACTCGACTGCGCCCGACCGGCATAACGGGGGAAGGTACCGTAAAACAATGACATGGATAGAAAGTGATTGATCTGTTCTTGAAGTTCCTTCAGTGTCTTCACAATCGGTAGTACGGTGTTCATTTTCCTGGCGCCTGACTTCGATGCGAACCGGACCCCATTGCAGTTCCTTGCGCGGCATACCGTCGACAGTCCCTGGCCTGGGTGTGTAATCGTGAAACATACCTTTAACACCCAACATAATCTTGTCGGGCGCATCTCGTCCAGACTATACCTAGGACCTATGTTCTTGTGTTGTGTTAAAGCGTTATTGGCAAGGTGGCATTGGGTGACAAGATAATCCTAGCCACCAAAGTACGGTCGGGCAGGGATCAAATCAATGACCAATCACACCGAGTTCCTGAACCAAAACATCCCACAATATACAAACGACATCCATGGTTACCTCGAAATGTTTATTAGAATGACAACGCTATCATCTGGACATGACTTGGACTCGGAGTTGCGACATGGACAGTTGTCCCCCTGGCTCCCTCCCACCCCCTCCCCACGTACCGCCCGAGCCGCGGACGGCCGCTCGGTCCGCCCTCTCCCAGGATGAGAAACACATGAGACGCGCGCTGCAGCGCCGATCCGGGCGTTGGCGGCTGCCGCTCACTGGGCCTTGGAGGCCTGCCGTCTGAGCAGAATGTAGATCTTCTCCTTGATCCAGTCCTTGTTGTAAGGCGCATAAGTGTTGCTGCTCTTCTGATACCTGCAGACCAAGACAAGATGAAACTTAGTTTTGTCAATAAACATATGTACACTGGTATAATTTTGCCATAAGGACGTTTGTTACAAGTGCTGGAAATATGAACGTGAAGCACGCTCAAATGCATTTTATTATGCACATAGCTGTCACAAAAACAACCACACATTAAATTTAGAACAGCATTCAGTTCCTGTCTCTGAGTGAGTGCTTCACACTCACACTAGGCAGGAGAGGTCGTTGAGCTGGTCGACAAAGTCGAACAGCTGGCTGATGTCGTACGTGATGCTGGGCGTATTCGGATTCATCCTCTTCAGGTGCTCCTCGTATATTTTGCACACACCTAAAAACAGTGCCTGGTCAGTCATACTGGAGAGGCAGCGACCGTGACCTGAAGTTACAGTCCTCTGCAGCGATGCGACACGAACCATACATTGGTGAAATGGCGTTGCTATCACGACGAGGCATACGTATAACTACATGCAGTGTCCGCCGCCCTTTCCCTCCGGATCAACCCCTGACTGTCTCTCCAACATATGAGGTGGGGTCGGGCGGCAAGCCGAGTGCCAAGGGCTTTGAACCGGCTCTCCTTGTTGATCCTCTGCCTGGCTAGTTTGTGTGCCAGCCGCCACTGGCAGCCCGTACACAGCATTCATTTGGCAGACGACAATGTGATTGATGTGACCAATTTTATCACAGTATATGGTTCAAGAATCGTGAATGCTCAGTGTAAACAAACATGGGAATGGAGATTAAAGACATTCATATATCAAACAAGAACATCCTGAGAGAACTGATGGAGAAATACTAGTTTTACACCTTTCCCAGAGATCTAGGGTCAAACATGATATCATGAACCAAGCGATCTGTTTTCTAATTCATCTCTGCAAAAAATGTCATCAACTTAAAATATTGTTGCCTCTTGCTACTTTAGATCAAAAACAATTGATAGGTAACTCATATTAGAGTGTGATATCTAATATTTTTGTGTAAACAAAAATGTTGGATGTTTTTGGTTCAAATGAAATGCTCATAGCAGGCTCAACTTAAAAATGTAGGTAAAACGACCTGCCATCAGCTATAAGGACTCAGCCTGGATGTGTTTTTCCAATAGAAAGTACAACTATTTTGAATGATTTTTTTTTCTTCAAAATGTTGCCTCATGATTTTCCAATGCCCTAGCACTGAATAGGTAACTTTTGATAAGCTTATTCACTAGGTACTGGTGAAAACATTTTCCATGGCATCAGTTGTAGACTATCCCCCATGCAGGCTCACCTTCCATGCACTCATTGACACTCTCGTAGTCTGAGTAACTGCGTGACTCGGCCTTGGCGCTCGGTTGAACCAACAGAATGGTGTGAGACTGAAACATAAGAGCAGGTTTTATGCACCACATGTCCTATAAGTCTTACAAACATAACCCTACCTTCAGACATGCTCTTTTCAAGTGGAATTTAAACACTGAGGAACTCCTCACAAAACAGTCATTTTGGAAAGCCTGTTTCACAGGATCCTACAAGATAACTCACATTTTACAATACCCAAACAGCTGTTTTCATGAGGAGTTCTTCAGCGGCCTGAAAATTCCATGCAAAATATGGCACTACTGAATACACTTTAAATCTTAATCGGACAAAAAAAGCATGAATTGCACTATCTAATGTCTCTCCAGGTGAAGGTGAAAAGATCAGTGATGCAAAGGTTTTGGCTAATTATAATGTAACACAAGGGTCTTTGACATCAACTGATCCTCTTGAGAAATGTGTGGTGTGATGGTGATTGATGATCAGTCACTTGTGAGTTGTGTATATTCTGCATGCTGTGGAAAAGGTTTCACAGCATTTTTTATATCAGCATTTATGAACAAAATGTATGGGGTATGTACCTATGGGTGAACAGCATGAGCTAAATATCTTACCATTATGGAGAGCTGCGAACAAACACTGCTTCTTACACCTCAAACGTTAGATCAATGGTCAAGGTAGACCTTGTTGCGCGGACAGTAGAAGTAGAAATAATACTTTCTGCGGGAGCAATTCAAATATAAGATTTCAACGACACCCAGCTAATATATCTCTCCGCAGGCAGCGTAACCCTGTGGTTCAATGGCGTTCACCGTCCGCGGTGCGATTCAAGATTCAACCAAGGCCGTATATTAGGATTCAACACTGCGGTTCATTTGCGAGATTCACGGTATGCGCCATGTTTGTCTACGTTATGTGCTACCATATGAGGAATGGAGGGCAATGGAGGAAAATCTTCATTTGGTTTATCCTGCACTTCTTGATCCTGCATTTCATCGGACGCTATTTATCGGCTCACGTAATTTTACTGAAGTCTCACTTTTTTGCTTTTTGGATCACTATTTGGATATATTCTAACGAAAATGCTCTAAAGCTCACTGTATGACATTTCTCACCGAATGTTCCTCTCCAGCTCACTGTTTTGTTGAGTTTAGTTACTTCTTTTTACTGGTTTCTCACTTTTTCTTTTTATATTTCACTAAAAATATCCATGTGGCATATTTTTAGTATACTTCTGGGATAACTGAGCAGCTGTGTAAAATATACTATAATGAGAGCTAGAAATCTGGCAGCAATTCGCGGGATTTTCGTTTTTCGCCGCAATTTGCGGCGGGTTTGTAGCGCGAGATTCTTCTGCACGCCGTGTAATGCGAGGTTATATGGCCTTGAATGCGAGCAATGCAACATGCGAGAGAGGAGAAGCGCAGTCAAAGCAAGGTCAAAGTTAGAGTGGAGCAATTGTGTGCGGGTGCGAAGTTTAGGACGAATATTTCATACGCTGCGGCTGCATTGTCGATGGATTTTTCGGTGACTCCGACTCAGACTCCGGCTTTCAAAAACCAACTCCGATTCCAACTCCGGGCAGAACTATCGACTCCGACGGACTAACTCCGACTCTCGATTCCGCAGTCCGCAGCTCTGCCAGGTCTGCGGAGTCGATGGATTTTTTTCGGTGTCTCCGGCTCGGGTTTCCATAATCGACTCCGACTCCGACTCCGACTCCGCTGTCCTGCTTGAAACTACTGAAGAACTCTTCACAGTTTCGGTGATAAGTGAGTAAATTCGCCAGGGAACCGATGTATTCGGTGAGAAATAAGTAAATTCAGTGAACTAGTGAGCAACTAGATCTGGCAGCACTACCAGATTAAGATTAGGTGAGGTTGTAGTAAAAACAGTGAGATAGTGAGGAAATCCGGTGAAGCACTTATTCCAGTGAGGCAAAAAGATAAATCAGTGAGGCCGTGAGCAATTTCGGTGAGCTGAAGAAATATACCCCCATTTCATCTGCCTCGAAATTCAAAAGAAGTGAATAGATTTTCAAAAGTTGGTTTGATTGTGTATTTTTTTTTAAATTAATCACCCCAAAAATACGTGCATAAAGTTGCATTATATTCACGTTCAGATTCGCGTGCACATTCGCGGACCCCTCAGATTTGGCTCAAAATTGCACAGCCTATAGATTTTGAGCTCCTGATTGCGAAAATCATGTTTTTATTTCACGCCGTCAAGTAGTTCTCAAAATATTCACATTTGTATTACTGCTAATATATTCTGGACCGTAACCCTTATTGGAAAAATCGGACCCCTCCAAACTTTTCATAAACTCCTGAGTTGATGTAAACATAAGCGCTGATCCCAAAAACTAATTTGTACTTTACGCCGTCCCATAGTTTTCTCAGGATGAGCATCTAAAGTTCAAGGTCGTTCAAGGTCATGTACCTTTTCTCACCTTTTGGCGCTATTTGACACGTGACAGCTTTATATTTATGATGGACATTCGCACTACCTCCTACAAAAACAATATACTGAAATCCGAGGGGCGTTGCTGCAGCAAAATGTAAAAAAAGCGTCAAAACCTCTTTCATATAGCTAACAGTTAAATACAAGGGATATTCGAATTTGCCACAGATAAAGCAAATTTGTCGGACATGGTCGGACCCCTCTGATATCGTTCAAAATCTCAGGAATGATGCTCCTTGACCTCCTGAACATGAAAATGGTACTCCCTTTGAACGCCGTCAAGAACTTTTCCAGATATACGCATCCATGCACATTCAAATTGAATAGTTGTTGCATATGGACGTTCGGCGGACCCCTCCGATTTCGTTCAAAATCGCAGGAATGATGCTCCTTGACCTCCTGAACATGAAAATAGTACTCCCTTTGAACGCCGTCAAGAACTTTTCCAGAAATGCGCATCAATGCACATTCAAATTGCATAGGTGTTGCATATGCACGTTCGGCGGACCCCTCCGATTTCGTTTAAAATCTCAGGAATGAGGCTCCTTGACCTCCTGAACATGAAAATAGTACTCCCTTTGAACGCCGTCAAGAACTTTTCCAGATATACGCATCCATGCACATTCAAATTGCATAGGTGTTGCATATGCACGTTCGGCGGACCCCTCCGATTTCGTTCAAAATCACAGGAATGATGCTCCTTGATCTCCTTAACATTAAAATGGTACTCCCTTTGAACGCCATCAAGAACTTTTCCAGATATACGCATGGATGCACATTCAAATTGCATATTCGTTGCATATGCACGTTCGGCGGAACCCTCCGATTTCGTTCAAAATCACAGGAATGATGCTCCTTGATCTCCTAAACATGAATATGGTACTCCCTTTGAACGCCGTCAAGAACTTTTCCAGATAAACGCATCCATGCACATTCAAATTGCATAGGTGTTGCATATGCACGTTCGGCGGACCCCTCCGATTTCGTTCAAAATCACAGGAATGATGCTCCTTGATCTCCTGAACATGAAAATAGTACTCCCTTTGAACGCCGTCAAGAACTTTTCCAGATATGCGCATCAATGCACATTCAAATTGCATAGGTGTTGCATATGCACGTTCGGCGGACCCCTCCGATTTCGTTTAAAATCTCAGGAATGAGGCTCCTTGACCTCCTGAACATGAAAATAGTACTCCCTTTGAACGCCGTCAAGAACTTTTCCAGATATACGCATCCATGCACATTCAAATTGCATAGGTGTTGCATATGCACGTTCGGCGGACCCCTCCGATTTCGTTCAAAATCACAGGAATGATGCTCCTTGATCTCCTGAACATTAAAATGGTACTCCCTTTGAACGCCGTCAAGAACTTTTCCAGATATACGCATGGATGCACATTCAAATTGCATATTCGTTGCATATGCACGTTCGGCGGACCCCTCCGATTTCATTCAAAATCACAGGAATGATGCTCCTTGATCTCCTGAACATGAATATGGTACTCCCTTTGAACGCCGTCAAGAACTTTTCCAGATATACGCATCCATGCACATTCAAATTGCAAAGGTGCTGCATATGCACGTTCGGCGGACCCCTCCGATTTCGTTTAAAATCTCAGGAATGAGGCTCCTTGACCTCCTGAACATGAAAATAGTACTCCCTTTGAACGCCGTCAAGCACTTTTCCCAGATATACGCATCCATGCACATTCAAATTGCATAGGTGTTGCATATGCACGTTCGACGGACCCCTCCGATTTCGTTCAAAATCTCAGGAATGATGCTCCTTGACCTCCTGAACATGAAAATGGCACTCCCTTTGAACGCCGTCAAGAACTTTTCCAGATATACGCATCCATGCACATACAAATTGCATAGGTGTTGCATATGCACGTTCGGCGGACCCCTCCGATATCGCTCAAAATCTCAGGAATGATGCTCCTTGACCTCCTGAACATGAAAATGGTACTCCCTTTGAACGCCGTCAAGAACTTTTCCCGATATACGCATCCATGCACATTCAAATTGCATAGGTGTTGTATATGCACGTTCGGCGGACCCCTCCGATTTCGTTCAAAATCACAGGAATGATGATCCTTGACCTCCTGAACATGAAAATAGTACTCCCTTTGAACGCCGTCAAAAACTTTTCCAGATATGCGCATCAATGCACATTCAAATTGCATAGGTGTTGCATAAGCACGTTCGGCGGACCCCTCCGATTTCGTTCAGAATCTCAGGAATGATGCTCCTTGACCTCCTGAACATGAAAATGGTACTCCCTTTGAACGCCGTCAAGAACTTTTCCAGATATACGCATCCATGCACATTCAAATCGCATAGGGGTTACATATGCACGTTCGGCGGACCCCTCCGATTTCGTTCAAAAGCTCAGGAATGAGGCTCTTTGACCTCCTGAACATGAAAATAGTACTCCCTTTGAACGCCGTCAAGAACTTTTCCAGATATACGCATCCATGCACATTCAAATTGCATAGGTGTTGCATATGCACGTTCGGCGGACCCCTCCGATTTCGTTCAAAATCACAGGAATGATGCTCCTTGATCTCCTGAACATTAAAATGGTACTCCCTTTGAACGCCGTCAAGAACTTTTCCAGATATACGCATGGATGCACATTCAAATTGCATATTCGTTGCATGTGCACGTTCGGCGGACCCCTCCGATTTCGTTCAAAATCACAGGAATGATGCTCCTTGATCTCCTGAACATGAATATGGTACTCCCTTTGAACGCCGTCAAGAACTTTTCCAGATATACGCATCCATGCACATTCAAATTGCATAGGTGTTGCATATGCACGTTCGGCGGACCCCTCCGATTTCGTTCAAAATCACAGGAATGATGCTCCTTGATCTCCTGAACATGAAAATAGTACTCCCTTTGAACGCCGTCAAGAACTTTTCCAGATATGCGCATCAATGCACATTCAAATTGCATAGGTGTTGCATATGCACGTTCGGCGGACCCCTCCGATTTCGTTTAAAATCTCCGGAATGAGGCTCCTTGACCTCCTGAACATGAAAATAGTACTCCCTTTGAACGCCGTCAAGAACTTTTCCAGATATACGCATCCATGCACATTCAAATTGCATAGGTGTTGCATATGCACGTTTGGCGGACCCCTCCGATTTCGTTCAAAATCACAGGAATGATGCTCCTTGATCTCCTGAACATGAAAATGGTACTCCCTTTGAACGCCGTCAAGAACTTTTCCAGATATACGCATGGACGCACATTCAAATTGCATATTCGTTGCATATGAACGTTCGGCGGACCCCTCCGATTTCGTTCAAAATCACAGGAATGATGCTCCTTGATCTCCTGAACATGAATATGGTACTCCCTTTGAACGCCGTCAAGAACTTTTCCAGATATACGCATCCATGCACATTCAAACTGCAAAGGTGCTGCATATGCACGTTCGGCGGACCCCTCCGATTTCGTTTAAAATCTCAGGAATGAGGCTCCTTGACCTCCTGAACATGAAAATAGTACTCCCTTTGAACGCCGTCAAGAACTTTTCCAGATATACGCATCCATGCACATTCAAATTGCATAGGTGTTGCATATGCACGTTCGGCGGACCCCTCCGATTTCGTTCAAAATCTCAGGAATGATGCTCCTTGACCTCCTGAACATGAAAATGGCACTCCCTTTGAACGCTGTCAAGAACTTTTCCAGATATACGCATCCATGCACATTCAAATTGCATAGGTGTTGCATATGCACGTTCGGCGGACCCCTCCGATATCGCTCAAAATCTCAGGAATGATGCTCCTTGACCTCCTGAACATGAAAATGGTACTCCCTTTGAACGCCGTCAAGAACTTTTCCCGATATACGCATCCATGCACATTCAAATTGCATAGGTGTTATATATGCACGTTCGGCGGACCCCTCCGATTTCGTTCAAAATCACAGGAATGATGCTCCTTGACCTCCTGAACATGAAAATAGTATTCCCTTTGAACGCCGTCAAAAACTTTTCCAGATATGCGCATCAATGCACATTCAAATTGCATAGGTGTTGCATATGCACGTTCGGCGGACCCCTCCGATTTCGTTCAAAATCTCAGGACGTGATGCTCCTTGACCTCCTAAACATGAAAATAGTACTCCCTTTGAACGCCGTCAAGAACTTTTCCAGATATACGCATCCATGCACATTCAAATTGCATAGGTGTTGCATATGCACGTTCGGCGGACCCCTCCGATTTCGTTCAAAATCACAGGAATGATGCTCCTTGATCTCCTGAACATTAAAATGGTACTCCCTTTGAACGCCGTCAAGAACTTTTCCAGATATACGCATGGATGCACATTCAAATTGCATATTCGTTGCATATGCACGTTCGGCGGACCCCTCCGATTTCGTTCAAAATCACAGGAATGATGCTCCTTGATCTCCTGAACATGAATATGGTACTCCCTTTGAACGCCGTCAAGAACTTTTTCAGATATACGCATCCATGCACATTCAAATTGCATAGGTGTTGCATATGCACGTTCGGCGGACCCCTCCGATTTCGTTCAAAATCACAGGAATGATGCTCCTTGATCTCCTGAACATGAAAATAGTACTCCCTTTGAACGCCGTCAAGAACTTTTCCAGATATGCGCATCAATGCACATTCAAATTGCATAGGTGTTGCATATGCACGTTCGGCGGACCCCTCCGATTTCGTTTAAAATCTCAGGAATGAGGCTCCTTGACCTCCTGAACATGAAAATAGTACTCCCTTTGAACGCCGTCAAGAAGTTTTCCAGATATACGCATCCATGCACATTCAAATTGCATAGGTGTTGCATATGCACGTTCGGCGGACCCCTCCGATTTCGTTCAAAATCACAGGAATGATGCTCCTTGATCTCCTGAACATTAAAATGGTACTCCCTTTGAACGCCGTCAAGAACTTTTCCAGATATACGCATGGATGCACATTCAAATTGCATATTCGTTGCATATGCACGTTCGGCGGACCCCTCCGATTTCGTTCAAAATCACAGGAATGATGCTCCTTGATCTCCTGAACATGAATATGGTACTCCCTTTGAACGCCGTCAAGAACTTTTCCAGATATACGCATCCATGCACATTCAAATTGCATAGGTGTTGCATATGCAGTATGCACGTTCGGCGGACCCCTCCGATTTCGTTCAAAATCACAGGAATGATGCTCCTTGACCTCCTGAACATGAAAATAGTACTCCCTTTGAACGCCGTCAAGAACTTTTCTAGGTATAGGTACGCATCCAAGCACATTCAAATTGCAATTTGAATGTGCATGAATGCGTATATCTGGAAAAGTTCTTGACGGCGTTCAAAGGGAATACCATTTTCATGTTCAGGAGGTCAAGGAGCATCATTCCTGAGATTTTGAACGAAATCGGAGGGGTCCGCCGAACGTGCATATGCAACACCTAGGCAATTTGAATGTGCATGGATGCGTATATCTGGAAAAGTTCTTGACGGCGTTCAAAGGGAGTACCATTTTCATGTTCAGGAGGTCAAGGAGCATCATTCCTGAGATTTTGAACGAAATCGGAGGGGTCCGCCGAACGTGCATATGCAACACCTAGGCAATTTGAATGTGCATGGATGCGTATATCTGGAAAATTTCTTGACGGCGTTCAAAGGGAGTACCATTTTCATGTTCAGGAGGTCAAGGGGCATCATTCCTGAGATTTTGAACGAAATCGGAGGGGTCCGCCGAACGTGCATTTGCAACACCTAGGCAATTTGAATGTGCATGGATGCGTGTATCTGGAAAAGTTCTTGACGGCGTTCAAAGGGAGTACCATTTTCATGTTCAGGAGGTCAAGGAGCATCATTCCTGTGATTTTAAACAAAATCGGAGGGGTCCGCCGAACGTGCATATGCAACACATAGGCAATTTGAATGTGCATGGATGCGTATATCTGGAAAAGTTCTTGACGGCGTTCATAGGGAGTACCATTTTCATGTTCAGGAGGTCAAGGAGCATCATTCCTGAGATTTTGAACGAAATCGGAGGGGTCCGCCGAACGTGCATATGCAACACCCAGGCAATTTGAATGTACATGGATGCGTATATCTGGAAAAGTTCTTGACGGCGTTCAAAGGGAGTACCATTTTCATGTTCAGAAGGTCAAGGAGCATGATTCCTGAGATTTTGAACGAAATCGGAGGGGTCCGCCGAACGTGCATATGCAACACCTAGGCAATTTGAATGTGCATGGATGCGTATATCTGGAAAATTTTTTGACGGCGTTCAAAGGGAGTACCATTTTCATGTTCAGGAGGTCAAGGGGCATCATTCCTGAGATTTTGAACGAAATCGGAGGGGTCCGCCGAACGTGCATATGCGCAACACCTAGGCAATTTGAATGTACATGGATGCGTATATCTGGAAAAGTTCTTGACGGCGTTCAAAGGAAGTACCATTTTCATGTTCAGGAGGTCAAGGAGCATCATTCCTGAGATTTTGAACGAAATCGGAGGGGTCCGCCGAACGTGCATATGCAACACCTAGGCAATTTGAATGTGCATGGATGCGTATACCTGGAAAAGTTCTTGACGGCGTTCAAAGGGAGTAACATTTTCATGTTCAGGAGGTCAAGGAGCATCATGTCCTGAGATTTTGAACGAAATCGGAGGGGTCCGCAGAACGTGCATATGCAACACCTAGGCAATTTGAATGTGCATGGATGCGTATATCTGGAAAATTTCTTGACGGCGTTCAAAGGGAGTACCATTTTCATGTTCAGGAGGTCAAGGGGCATCATTCCTGAGATTTTGAACGAAATCGGTGGGGTCCGCCGAACGTGCATTTGCAACACCTATAGGCAATTTGAATGTGCATGGATGCGTATATCTGGGAAAGTTATTGACGGCGTTCAAAGGGAATACCATTTTCATGTTCAGGAGGTCAAGGAGCATCATTCCTGAGATTTTGAACGAAATCGGAGGGGTCCGCCGAACGTGCATATGCAACACCTAGGCAATTTGAATGTGCATGGATGCGCATATCTGGAAAAGTTCTTGACGGCGTTCAAAGGGAGTACCATTTTCATGTTCAGGAGGTCAAGGAGCATTATTCCTGAGATTTTGAACGAAATCGGAGGGGTCCGCCGAACGTGCATATGCAACACCTAGGCAATTTGAATGTACATGGATGCGTATATCTGGAAAAGTTCTTGACGGCGTTCAAAGGGAGTGCCATTTTCATGTTCAGGAGGTCAAGGAGCATCATTCCTGAGATTTTGAACGAAATCGGAGGGGTCCGCTGAACGTGCATATGCAACACCTAGGCAATTTGAATGTGCATGGATGCGTATATCTGGAAAAGTTCTTGACGGCGTTCAAAGGGAGTACCATTTTCATGTTAAGGAGGTCAAGGAGCATCATTCCTGAGATTTTGAACGAAATCGGAGGGGTCCGCTGAACGTGCATATGCATACCTAGGCAATTTGAATGTGCATGGATGCGTATATCTGGAAAAGTTCTTGACGGCGTTCAAAAGGAGTACCATTTTCATGTTCAGGAGGTCAAGGAGCATCATTCCTGAGATTTTGAACGAAATCGGAGGGGTCCGCCGAACGTGCATATGCAACACCTAGGCAATTTGAATGTGCATGGATGCGTATATCTGGAAAAGTTCTTGACGGCGTTCAAAGGGAGTACCATTTTCATGTTCAGGAGGTCAAGGAGCATCATTCCTGAGATTTTGAACGATATCGGAGGGGTCCGACCAAGTCCGACAAATTTGCTTTATGTGTGGCAAATTCGAATATCCCTTGTATTTAACTGTTAGCTGTATGAAAGAGGTTTTGACGCTTTTTTTTACATTTTGGTACAGCAACGCCCCTTGGATTTCAGTATATTGTTTTTGTAGGAGGTAGTGCGAATGTTCATCATAAATATAAAGCTGTCACGTGCCAAATAGCGCCAAAAGGTGAGAAAAGGTACATGACCTTGAACGACCTTGAACTTTAGATGCTCATCCTGAGAAAACTATGGGACGGCGTTAAGTAAAAATTAGTTTTTGGGATCAGCGCTTATGTTTACATCATCTCAGGAGTTTTTGAGAAGTTTGGTGGGGTCCGATTTTTCCAATAAGTGTTACGGTCCTGAATATGTTAGCAGTAAAACAAATGTGAATATTTTGAGAACCACTTGACGGCGTGAAATAAAAACATGATTTTTGCAATCAGGAGCTCAAAATCTATAAGCTATGCAATTTTGAGCAAAATCTGAGGGGTCCGCGAATGTGCACGCGAATCTGAATGTGAATATAATGCAACTTTATGCACGTCCCAAAAATATCATTTTCAAAGAACCCTTTGTGATTTTATTTCCAATCGAGTAAGTGATATGGTAGCATTTTTCCTCTCTGCTCTCGACCTTGAAAACAGCTGATTCTAACCGGTGATTCATGTGAACCAAGTTGTGAACCGTCGTGTTGAACCGTTGTTTGGTGAATAAGTGGGTACTGGGTAGACCCCAGTAGCAGCGGAATACATTCAATTAAAGGGACTATCCCACCTTTAACATGGGGTTTGAGTTGAGATAGCCAAGTTTGCGGCGAGGTTCAGAAACCACTATCTATCTAGGTTGCAACCCCCGCGGCCTCTTGGTGTGGAAGAAATTCGTTCCCTTCATTTGAAAATGGGCCTTGTGCAAGGCCCTATCTTCAACATGGAGCGACCGTTAGTGTGACGTCACCTCGTTTAGTCATTCTGATTTAAATGGGTTTGTTCGTTGAAAAATCGCTTAAAACTTGGTCTGAACTTTGTTGTGGTGCCTACAGAGTAGAAAGAATCGAAGCTTTATGACAGTAATGTGGCCTGGGGAAGGAGGTAATTTTGGGGTGTGACGTCACATATTTGAAAGTTTGTGTTTGGAATATGGGAAGCCTAAGATGTTTAATGAAAAATAAATGCCAGAACCGTGTTCCTGGTCATCCAATCTATAAAGTCGGGCACAATTTAACTGGTTTTAACAACATTTTAGAAGGTGGGATAGTCCCTTTAAGGGGGGGGGGGCACTGCCAACTTTTGGTCCCATTCTTTCCATGCAACGCCCATAGGGCTAATGTTAAAATGCAAAAATCAAAGGAGGGCACGGTGCCCCGGTGCCCTCCCCGTTCCGCCGCCTATGGTAGACCCCCCCCCCCCCCGGGTAGACCTGCTCTGCCAAATATTTTATGGCTAATTTTGATTTCTCTCATTTGTTTCAATCTCATTCATTCTTGTCTGGAAATTGGAATCGATTACCGGGGGCGTTCGTGACACGCTGAGCAGCCCAGTATCGATGTGGAGATTTTTGACTTCCGGTTCTGATGATCAGGGTTGGTTTTAGATTCTAAAATATGGATGTATTCTAGCAGGAACCTCAATAATTGGGGTGAAGGGAAGGATGTACCTATGGGCCGGTGGCTGTAAATTTGTCACATGGACATGACATTCTTGTGTGTGGAATGAACAGGATCCGGGTGCCGATTGGATTGTCAAAGTTCAGTTCGATTTTAGCTGAAGCTGCTAAAATCAAATTGTTGGGACTGTATGTATAACAGTATAATGGTCAGAATCTGACTTTGATAGGTGTTAGCATCCATAGCTCTACTAACTTCTGAATTAAAGGGGTAAAGTCCTAGGACCTAGAACATACCTTGTAGTTCTCATGAAATATAAGGTTGACTCTCTGAGGTCATTTCACACAATTTTCATTTTTCAGCCTGATGTTCACATGGTAAAATGAGTAAAATTGCACCAAGCTGCTATAATCTAAATGAAGAAGACCTTTGGATTGAGCTGTCACAGTACCTTGATCTACCACCCGCTCTTCAGGTACAGCTTGACAGTTTTATTTATGGTTAGGCCTCCTTCTGAAGTGAAATGTTGGCTGGCTTTCATCTCAGAGCATTTATTCTGGGAAATGTCACCATGCTGGTTGCTGATATTGTAGCATGTGTTATGTGTGTTAATTACAAGTGCTGCTGGTCACCTCCAGTTCTTCTCTTCATGTCAGATATTTTTGTTGCTAGGGGCATGATTGACCAATGACCATTGCATTTGGCCAGCCCTAATGCCCAACAAAGAAACAAAGAAACAATTTGTTTACTGTGTGGGCATGGCTGACATTCCTAGATGCTACTCTGCATGGCTCACACTCCTTGGTTGGTATATTTCAGCAGGAATCTTCTGACAGCCCTCTCAGCAAGCATGGCCGGCAGCACACGGGTGCTCTCGCCGTGCTCCGCAGAGCACTCGAGGATGGCCCACCTGCTGCGGCTGCTGCTGCCAGTGCTGCATGTGATCCGGCCACGCTGCGGAGTCTGCTGACCGCCGCCCTGCGGCGGGCTGCTCCGGTGCGTGCTGCCCTCATCCTGCCTCTGTGGCCGGTCGGGGACAGTGACGGGCCGGAGACGGCGGCGCTGCGCCGGCCGCCGCCCGGCGCTGCCGGTCTCTGCGCGGCGGCAGTGTCCGAGTCGGCCTGTGACCGGCTGGCCGAGTGGGGGCGGGCGGCACTGACCGCCGGCCGCTGCCGGCCCTCTCTGGAGACGGCGCTCCTCTGCGGCCAACCGGCGGACGGCGACACCCTCCTCCGACTCCTGGTCAGTCCCGCCTGGGCATCGGGGCTGGTCAGTATGAGAAAGTGGGCACCGACATCTCGAGCATCATGTTACTCTCCATAATGTTACTGTTCCTTGACGAGGAGTCGCATCGTTCCTCGACGAATCGTAATGCGACGAGTCGTGATAAAATATCCGTCGCTTTCAATACACCCTGTATAATGTACGCCTACCAGTTTATGCGTATCGACAAGACAAACACAACGGCGTTACAGTTATAGCTCTTCAAGGATATTGTCAAAATTATTCACCAAAAACCAAAGCCAGGGACTTGGGTCATTGACACACTCATTGGTTGGCTGGCCCCCAGGTCAAACGGACCCCCACGGTTTTTCGCAAATAACTCGCGCAAAAAGCGGCCGATCACGACCAAACTCTCAGTAGCCTCGACTTAATCACTTTTACACTTACCCTGAAAATTGTGTGACCCAGACACAAATGACCTTTGACCTGTGACCTGTTTCTCGGGACCATGTTTGGCCGTAATCGCGATTCGGCTTATGTCGGCTCACATTATCCGCGCGTTTGCAGTCTTGTTGTAGTTTTAAACGTTCAAACATGTGAAATGATGTTGGTTTCATGCATTATGGTGGTTGTCAAGGTCACTTGAAGGTCAGGTCAAGATCATTGACTTTTGATGACCTTGACTCACTTTTTCGAGTTTTACATATGTTTTAGGTTATTTTTTGGAGCCGATTTCGAATTTAACAACCATTTGAAAATTTAAGAAGAAGTGGAGCTGACCTGACCCGACCTGGTCTAAATGCATGAAGGCGTCACCTTTGGTAAAACTAACATGAAATTCGGGATCAGCACCCCGAAAACCCCTTGACAACTTCACTTTACGAAGTTCTAACAGGTCCCGATTTTCCCGACTTTTGGGTCATTGACCTTACCTGGAAGGTCAACCAATGACCTAGGACCTGAACCCTCGCCCATATAGGGGGAGGGGTGGGGGGTCGAATGGACCCCTCCTCGGTTTTTCGCGAATACCTCTCGTAAAAAGCGGCTGATCGCGACGAAACTTTCAGTACCCTCGCGTTTATCAATTTTAACACCTACCCTGAAAATTTCATGACCCTGACCCAACTGACCTTTGACCTGTGACCTGCTTTTCGAGATCATGTTTGGCCGGAATCGCGATTCGGTGTATGTCGGCTCGCATTAGCCGCGCGTTTGCAGTCTTTTCGTGGTTTTAAGCGTTCAAACATGTGATATGATGTTGCTCCCATGCATTAGGATGGGTGTCAAGGTCACATGAAGGTCAGGTCAGGTAATTGACCTTTGATGACCTCGATTCACTTTTTAAGTTTTAAGGCGGCCCCACACTGGACCTCGCAAGCGGGTTGCGAGTTTTTGGGTTTTCGGGTTTCTTCCAAATTTAAGAATAAACTCTAAGTTGAGTGACCCACATCACTATGTAACAAGCGAGTCCGCATGTTTTTAGCATGCGAGCCACCTTGCATCGCATTCCAAAAGTTGATTTTGAGTCAACTTTCAATTTGCCTCGCTGCGAGGTCTGCGAGTTCTGTGAGGTTTGCGGGTTTTTCGTTGGAGTCGAATTTTGGTTTGTTAATTGTTACGCTGTTATTGCGACTATATGTAATTTTCTGAAGGTGTACCGGCTTCATTGCATTCATAAAGCTACCATAAGGGAACGGTCTTATCACTCTATGAATTAGTATTATGCCCGCAAACTCAAAACCCGCAAACTCGCAACCCGCGTGCGAGGTCCAGTGTGGGGCGGACTTTACATGTACTAGGCCAGTTTTTGGAGCTGAATTCGAATTTAGCAACCAGTTGAACATTTTCGAAGTAGTTTTGGTGCCTCCGTAACATGTTACGAAGCTGTCAGAGGCGGTTGACACCTACTACGAATACCCGGCAGGACCCCTACTGGTTGACCTGACCTGGCCTGACCCGACCTGGCCTAAATGCATGAAGGCATCATCGGTGATCAAAACTAACATAATATTCGTGATCAGTGCCCCGAAAAACCTCTTAGCAGCCACACTTTACGACGTTCTAACAGGTCCCGATTTTCCCGACTTTTGGGTCATAGACCTGACCTGGAAGGTCAACCAATGACCTAGGACCTTAAACTTGGGTAGCACCGGCTTCCTCTCGTCACGGGCAACACGCTCGTTTTTTCCGCGAAGCTCTAGCTCGATCAGGGGCCGAATGGCAAGGGGATTGGTCCAAAGTACCCTCCCCCCTCCCATACGTTCAGGGGCGTCGCCACGGATTTTTGAGTGGGGGGGTCGGGTTTCCGGTCATCGTCTTGATGGGTAGGGGTGTTTTAGCCATACTCCCGGGTTTTTTCGTGTGTTGAGAAAAACCTCGGCGCGCAGCGCCACGAAAGCAGCGGTATATCTTATTGTACATACATAACTTTTGCATCGTGCATAAAAATCAAGCACAGGTCAACTGAGGTCAGGTCACAATGTCATGCCAAGTTCAGTTTTTAACGCCTCTAAAAACTGCAATCTTGTCATTACTATATATTATCACATATAAGTCTGAAATTTGGTGTAATGAATGGGATTATAGGTGCCAACAGTTCATGAATCTGGGGTTTTACATCTGAGAAGTGAAGTCAGGTCAAATATGTGACCTCACCAATCATGATAAACTATGGGAAAAAGCACGAATGCCCTCTCCTTTGAACCAATATGCTAAAAACTATAGATACTTTTGTAGACATGGCACCTCTGCTCATTTTAGAGACAAGGTGCAGCTAATGACCAGTGGTGACTCGAATGGTCAGTCATTAGGTCATCAAAGGTCTCTAACACATTTTCGACAATAACTTTCGATGGAGACGCGGTAGAGCGATGACAGCACCTGGAGTGTGTTCAGCTCAGCAACACAGATCGATCCATATGCAGCAGGTTCTTTTGCGGTCAGGACATGACCTTTACCTGATGTCAAGTTTTCTAGTTAAGTTTTTAAGTTCAAATAAGCCATGTGAAGTGTTTCGACGAAACAAACACGATGGTAATAACATGAATATCATACACATTCACTGAATCATATGTTGTTACAGAACAAATGTTTCGGCAAAATCCGTCCATTTAGCTGTTAAGCATCTGTGGTACACAAGCCATAGACCCGAAGGCATATCTGAGGCGAAGTTGGTGGAAGAGCTTTAAAAAAGCTGTCGAATACGCTTTCTGTGTCGTTGTAGCTCTTATTCGTGTTTTACGGGTCGCTAAGGTAAAACATTTACCAACGTAACGTTAAGGTATGCTTTCAGCCCCTGATCGAGGTAGAGCTTCGCGGAAAAGCGAGGATGCTGCCCGTGATGAGAGACAGCCGATGATGCCCAATTTCAAGGTCTTAGCCGGGTCATCTTAGGTCAACGCTCAAAAGTAGGAAAAATCTGACCTGCTAGAGCTTTGTGAGCCTGCTAGAACTGTTATCGGGGTTCCGAGTACGAGTTTCATGCTAGTTTTGAACAAAGATGATGACTCCATGCATTAGATCGGGTCGGGTCAGGTCAGGTCGACCAGCAGGCTTCCTGCCGGCCATCTACGTATAGTGGGCGACAACCACCAACGATAGTTTCGTAACATGTTACATAACCACCATTTATCAAAACTACTTCTGATGTTCAAACGGGCGCTAAACTCGAAATCAGTTCCAAAAACAACATTTTTAAGTGGAAGAAAATAAAACTAAAAAAGTAAACCAAGGTAATCTATATTATAATCTAATATTCGAATCAGGACCAATAAATTTTTAGGGACTAGGGTAGGTGTAAAATTGATTAACTCGAGGTCACTGGAAGTTTCGTTGCAATAGGCTCCTTTTTGCGCGTCTTATTGGGAAAGCCCGAGAGGGGTCCACCATCTGACCCCATTCCCCCTATGCAGGCAGGTCCGAGGGTAGTCAGGGCTGAGGCTAATTAGGCACCTCGTAGTTACTGATACGTCATCCGACGAATCGACTGCAACCATTATTTTGACAATCAGACGAAGACTTGGGTCAGTTTTGGCGCGCTCACTCCTTTGAGGGATAAAAAGGGACTAGAATAGTTGCTACTATTCTAGTGGCTACTATTGTAGTTGGCTACGCCAACTACACTGACATGATAGCTAAAAAAAGCATTCTCAGCATCGCCAAAAGTGGGGGGGGGGGGGTCGACCCCCCCGGTTCTCACGAGTGGGGGGGTCGCGACCCCCGCGACCCCCCCGTCGGCGACGCCCCTGCATACGTTCACGGCTGGCAAAACACCAATATGGGAGAGGGTTAACCCTCGTTTTCTACATACGCGCCGGCCGAGGGGGGGGGGGGGCGGGTACAACCCCCCCCCCCCTCGCCGTTTCGCCCCTGGCGGAGCTAGCGCGTCGCGGAAAAAAACGAGCGTGTGCGCCGTTACGAGACGCAGAGATTCATACCAAATTTTAAGGTCATAGGTCAACCGGTGACCTCTGAGGTCAGGTCAAGTGCCCCAAGGTACGGTTCAGTTTTTGGTGAATAACTTCGCAAAAAAAAACGGCCGCAGAGCCGCGATTTTGGCACCATCGCGTTCGCCTCGCTCAGGCGCGTCGAACGATATACTTTTTGTTTGGGTGAGGTCAACTTAGGGTGTTGACCTCAGGTCACGGTCAGGTTAGCGCCCCCAGGTCACGAAGCTGGTCGAAGGAGGTCATGTCGCATATCATTCGATTCGGCAGGTCTTCCTGAGTCCATTGGTGGCTTTCCCGACTCGCTAGCTCAATTTGATCGGGAGTTATTGAAGAAAAACTAATATGACCTTGATGACGTCATAAATGACATCACGCAAGGTCAGCATTGCAAAAGTGACGCATCTAACCTTGCAAGGAGTGCATAAAATCATGATTCTGTGTGCTTGAGCTAGTTTTAGATCGTTTCCGGCGCCAGAATAGCAGTTTTCATTTTTCGCCATTGACTTATAATGGTGAGGTCACGAAAATGACCTGACCTCATATGACCTTTAGGGAAAATCTGAGATAAACAAGTTGTGAGACTCATAATGGATACTAGATCCTGCAAGTTTCATTTCCCTGTGAAAGCTCCTCTGGCAGTGAGGGCGTTGCGAAGTTGCGACATCCGAAGACCGTGCAGAGGTTCACTTAACCCTATTAGTGGCAGGGGGGGGGGTTGTTTTTATCCACCCCTCAGGTTTTTCGGGAATATCTCCGAAACCGCTGAAGCTACGATGCTGAAATTTTCTGACTTTTCCTAAAACTAAATTGGGCACATTCCCTGAAAATTTCAAGTTCATAACTTTACCAGGGGCGGCTCCAGAGCACTGGGAATTGGGGGTTCCTATTCGTGAAGCGAGTCATTTGGGCGAAGATCACGATGCTGCACCAGTTTTACGAACAGTGAATGAAAGGTATCATGTGATAACATATACAAAGTTATTGTGCATCCTCGGCACGTTTTTGCTATAATAGGCGGATCCAGGCGTCCAAAAAGGGGGGTTATTTTTTACCTCCCAACATAGGTGCCCTGACACCGCCTATGCATGACCAATACAATTTTAGTCGTTCTCTCATAAGAAAATTGTAACATAACAAGACCATTGCCACCCTTTTTAGAAACAGTACCAACAAAAACCTTATTTACTATACTTTTTGTGTACCCCCAATCTCAATGATCTGTATCCGCCTATGATTTTTGAAAATGCATATTTTTAGGATCCATGTGAATTCCTGGTTCATTCTCTATCGATCGGCAAAAGTTGCGTTAAGATTGCTTCAGAAACCTGGCCGTGATAAACAGTCTAAAATGTATCTGCAATTTGCCCGTTTTTACCCCCCTCTACCCCCCTATTGACATTTTTCAATTTTATTTTTTTTTAGAAATGTAGATCTCGTTGAGCGAAATCGAATGCCGTTTGAATTTTGAAAATCGGCCCGTTAGAACTCGAGATATCAAGGGGGGGTCGTAAACAGCCCCCCCTGCCACTAATAGGGGGTAGCCAGGAGCCTGCCACTAATAGGGTTAAGACGTCATAGGTCAGTGACCTGACCTGACCCGAAAATGCGGTTGGTGTCAAAAGATCCGGCTTGAATCAAAGGTTAGGTATGCCAAGTTTCAGCTCTCTATTGCCAGCGTGTTCGGAGCTATCACGAAAAAACCCTTTGGGGGGGGGGGGCACCCGCCCCCCCCTCCCCCTCGGCCGGCGAGGGTTAAAAATCAATGCTACCTTATCGTCATGAAAAGGCGAACAGGCTCATATTCTTTTCGCTATCGGATCTGCCATAGGGTAAAACTCTTATGCAATGGCTGTTGCTCGGCTTTGACTCTATGTGCACTGGATACTGCACACTGCACAGTGCACATTAATATGCTGCTGGAGTCGGCACCCAATGTAGTTTATTCTGGTGAAGGTGTTCCCCACAGTTCGGTCTTGTTTGACCGCGCCGTGCCGTTCGTTTCCAGGACTGCTGTGTGACGGACCTGCCCCGCTGGTTCGGCGATGGGTTACCGCTGCGGCCGCTGCTGCCGCTGGCTGCTTCACGCGCCTGGAGCGCCGGCCGGGTCGCAAATTCCCAATAATGCTACACGCTACGCACCTCCAGCGCTGAGTGGCTGGTTGTCGCGGGAGATGACGTCATAGCCTGACGCCACGCTCATTGGCGTGCGGGTTATGTGACGTCGCATCTATCAGCCAAGCAATAGTTAGACGAGGTGGGGTCTATTCGCTAGTCCAGATACAGGTTAAGGAAACTTACGAGAACAATATACGAGTCTATGCACGAACCACACGCGGACCATGGATAATTACCTTGTTAGTTATCCAAGCGCGGACCTAAGGGGCGAATTCAAGGGGCTATTGCTGGCGTTTGTTGGGTGCGCTGACTCAATCCATCGTCTGTATGAAGATAGGCCCCTCTTGCACGGAGACTCATCCCGAATTCGCAGTTTCCTTGGACGAATATGTCTATAATCTTGGTAACGTATTTAGATTGAGATTGATATTGATGGTCTGCGGAGTGCGGAGTGCGGACCATTTAGAATCACTTGAAAACGATTTTGACTTGTGTCTCCGTACAAGAGGGGCCTATCTTCCTCCAGACGATAGAGCGAGTCGGTGCGCTGGGTGTTGAATTTGACCGTGATGGTGTTAGACCTGTTAGACTGTAATTCGTGTTGGATTTGTGGGTAGTGTTGTTTCTGCACCTGTGGTGTTCAATGGAAAAGGATGTTTTTTCGAAAAAAATGAATCTTCAGGCATTTTGAACATCCACGTGAACTGCAAAGATTTGGCTTTGAGATGTAACGTCAAAACCCGAGAACAGAAACTGGCTGGAAATTTGCTGTTCTTCTACCTCAACTTACCTAAACCCAGGGACACCGCCGAACACTATGTATAAACGTTCTATAGCCTTGGTATAAACGGATCAGCTACAGCTGCCGTCAAACTCGTAATTGATGCGAGTGCATCTCGTTCACCTACGTTGCAATAACGTAGCATCTCGCTATTCGGTGTCACTTGTTTGAGGTCATTTGCTTTGTCAAACATCTGGTGCGTAAATCATTCACGACGGATACGCTTACTTGAGCCGTGGTGGAATGTTGGTCCTCAAAACCTGCCACCAGCCGTGCACAGCTCGCCCTACCACCGAGCCAACACTCCAACTCGCACCGCACGAGCAGAGTACATTTCGATTACCATAATGCTGCATGACGCAACAACCTCAGGTTCTTTCGCCGCAACTTCCCTTGCGTCGGATAAACCCGATAAATCGTTCGCAGTGTAGTTGACTAAAGCATCAGAGCAGTGGTCTTCGAGCCCTCCCATCGGCCGTGCACATCTCGGAACCCCTCCCATCGGCCGTGCAGATCTCTCTGAGACGCCTACCCCCGGCGCCTCCAGAGCCGAGCGGGCCCCCATGCGCATGCCCCGGACGCGAGTGACGACACCGTGACGTCACCCGCCTGGGCTGTGCGTAGCGTGTAGCACTATTGGGAATTTGCGGCCGGGTCCCGGAGGCCGCCGCCGCCAGCGCCCTCTGCCGAAGGCGACAGGTGCGTACCGCGCTGCCTGCCGCACCCTCCTGACCCTCCGCTAATAGTGGAACCGAGAACCCTCGCCATGCGTAATTCGGAGCTCAGAATGCCGTGTGCGGTATTATATCGGGTATCTGCGCCGATCATTAGCTGTTTTCATCGCTCGTTGTTTGTCCGACTATCGACATTGGTACTAGCAACAGCGGAGCATATCACACGTCGGAAAGTGAAACAAACTAAAGGTATCGACGTATAAGCTTACAAGTGTATTGTTTGCCATGCGTTGGCCGCAGCAGTTCTGTAGTGACCATGCCACTCGCCCAGTTAGTGACGTTAGCTGACCCTCTTCTCGGGCTGTGTGCCGCCGTCAGGAGTCTGTGAGCGGCGATCCGCTGGTGCGCCGCTGGTGCCAGCTGCTGGCCAGCCGCGGCGCGCTGGTCCAGCTGTGTCTGCAGCGCGCTGTGCTGACCGACGCCCAGCAGTCTGCGCTGGTGCAGGTGGGTCCAGCGGCAGCCTGTCGAATCAACTGGTTAAACAGTGCAGCTCAGCAGCTGACCACATGCTTCCCTTTAAATAGTTTGATATAGTATCTGCCCCTGTCTTCCTCCCCCCCCCCCCCCCCAGGTCAGCACTTGGCAGGTATTTTAAGGCGACGCATATTGGGGGTAAGTGCATACTGGGTATACTGGGTTAAAGGGACCCTCCCACCTTAACATTAGATTTGAGTTGAGATAGCCAAAATGGGGTCCCTGGCTCACAATTACCGGTTTCGGCACTCACAACATCGAGAAATGCCTTAAATCGGAAATATTGAATTTCAAAATTGCAGCATTTTGATTCAGAGGGGCTAATGCATAGGAATACCCCTTTGAATGTGTGACGTCAGCGCAGATATCTAACGATTTTTAAATGTTTGACTAAAACGTTTTGTAGCACGCGGTGGTATATGCTGCTTTGCGCGCAACAAGTGCCGCACTTTTAACTGCCAAACTATTGCTTGCAAATAAAGTCGCTAGGAACAGCGGAGATCCCAAAAAGTAAACAAAAGTAAAAGTCTAATATCTTGAAAACCGGTGAATATTTTTCGGTGAAATTTGGTAGATATTCGTTTTCGCTCTTTTTGAATCGAGCGACATCACTTTCATGCCAATTCATAAACTTTTTGAAGGTGGGAGGGTCCCTTTAAGTACATACGTTAAGCGGGTATATGCCTGCCAGTTTTGGCGTGACAAGTTACGATTCAATTTTAGTGCGTGCTTTTTTATTTTCGGCAGCTTTGAGTGGTAGTGTTTTCCTGATTTCTGGATTACGAAATGAATTGACGAAACAAAAGCACTACAAACATTACATGACGCACAAACGAAAAGCGAGTCTCACCGGAAGAAATGACATGGAGAAATAACGTCCAAGTGCAATAATACGCAATATCTGGGAGAATTTGGTGGAACATTGGCAGGAAATCATCAAGACTCGAGTAGTTTGTCCTCTTCGTAAGTGGTGTGAGATCGAACGCCGTCTTTTCCAACGATAGAACCGTCAGCAAGCCTCTGAGTGCACCGTCACCCGAGAGGCGGGAGCCATAATAGGGCATCACGTCGGTGAATCACAGCGAGTGGGAAGGACGGCGCCCGCCGCCGGGCGACCGTCGGTGGCGAGTGAGTGACGTCAACCAAGGTGACGTCACTGGCCGGGAAAGGGCCGAGCGCCACCGCTTGGCCCGGTGCCAACAGCGCACGCTCCGGTCGGGCGGTAAGGTGGGCTGTCGCTGTTGGTGCAGCACGGACGCGGGGATGTGTGCTGTGTGAATCGTGTGCGGTCGGACGGATTCGGTGGCGTGGCCGTGCCGCGTGCTGTCACTGCCGGTGTTTGGCGGCGATATCCGTCCCGTGTCGGGGTCAGTTCCGGCTGCAGCGGCTCGAACGGGTTCGGTGGTGAGACCGCCCCACGCACCGTGTCTGTTTTGGCGGTGACTCTCTCCCGTGGCGCGGTCGACTCGGCCCGCGGTGCGATGGCGCACCGGTGCTGCGGCTGGCTGGACCTGCGGCGCGGCGCCGTCGCTATCGGCGTGTTCTACGTGTGCTACCTGCTGCTGGTGGCGGTGACGCTGGCCGTGCTGGCTGGCGTGCTGGCCGCCGAGGCGCCGCTGGCCGGTCGGCTAGGACTGGCGGCCGGCGGCGCGCTGCTGCTGGCGCTGCTGGCCGGCGGTCTGCTGCTGGGCGCCGCGCGCCGCCGCCGGCCGCTGCTGCTGCTCTGGCTGCTGACGTACGGCGCCGAGCTGCTGACGCTGTCGGTCGGCGTGTTCGGGCTGGCTATAGCCGCCGAGACCGGTCACAGGACCTTCCTGACCGAGTTCTGTGAGTCGCGGCCGGCCGGCCGGTGCTCGTTCCGCCTGTTCCACTACCTTCTACTGCTGTTCGCCGTTGAGTGGTACTGGTGGGTGGTGGTGCTGCTGCGCTACAGACAGCTCGGCCGAGAAGAATGCGCCCAACACTCAGAGACACCGCCGGGGGTGCCGGTGCGCGGGGCACACAGCGGCCAGCGGTACCACGTACCCGTCACATACTGCGGGGACGGCGGACTGCTGAAACCGCCGGCGGACAGCGGAGACCACCGGCCGGCCGCCGTCAGTACTGGACCTCCGACGGCAGCCGACCTCGGCAGGCCGCCGGTGGTGGTGCACGGGTGGTAGATGCCAGATAATGCCACCATTTCCTACCGTAGAAACCCGGCCATCGGCTGTCGAGAGTACTCGGGCGACGTGCGACGGGCGACTTTGGTATCGAATGCTCCGAGTGTCAAGTGTCCTGGAATTGTATGCGCCCCGCGCAGACTGCGCAGGGGCTACGGAGCCCGTGATGTAGTCCGTACTATGTAGAGGTGATGGAGTCTGTGCTGGCAGCGTAAAAGCAATGCTGACAGCTGGTGATGACCAAGTGAAATGTATGGCGGTGCTGATGGAAGCGGCGTAGTGTCTGCGCGGCTGGCCTACTTGGCAACTGACCTATCGGATGTAATTGATATTAACGTTCACTCTAACATGAAGTGGTTTGTGCGATTATAGGCAGCCGACCTCAGTCGAATGAAGTTGACTTAACGTGGAATGTCACGTTGTACTTTTTACTGAGAGGTGTTGCGCTTCCAATCAGTTGATTGTCAGTTGTGTGCTTGTTTTGTTCCGTCCGGTCGGTCGCAACCCTGGGCTTGAGCCTACCCGTGGCATTGCCCAAGTATCTGGTCGAGCCGGCTCGAGCTCTCAATTGACACCGTTTATTTCTTGTATGCTTGACTTGCACTGAATCTCATTAATCGCGACATTGCTGCCTGGGGAAACTGAGCTATATTTTTCCATTTTACTAGTAACAAATGTCATACGCATTTTGCTATCGACTGCATGACCCACTGCAGTGTTAGCTGTGACCTTGTGATTTTGTGCCTTAACTTTGTAACGTTTTCCACTACAAAATGTCGTGTTTTCCATTGCTGACTTCAATTGATTTGCTTTGTTTATTTAACTTCATTGGACTGTGATAATCGTGCTCATATGGCTCATGCGAGTTCCGTTGTTATTGGTACCTAACCATGGCACATTAATATATTCCGAAATAAAATGATATTTCGATTGTGTTCTTTTGTCCGTCACAACCAAAAAGCCCGGATCGAGACCCGGAAACCAAATCTGTAAATAAATAAAATGTTTCGAGGCAATGGAATATTTTTACATCAAGTAGCACTTTTATCACTATGATTTAGCTTCAGCTTGATGAACACTCCTACATTTGGATTCCATTTGGAATCAAGCAATTTTTATGGGACTAAAAATTAGTATGAACTCAAAAAGCTTGTGTCGTGTAGGTCACCTTAGGCCCGTGGCACAGAAGTTCCTTAGCAATGACACCTCGGTAACCACTAGGACGTGGCCTTTTGACGGCGCCACCAGACCTCGCCCTCGCCCGGCTTACGAATCATAGAACTTGTCACCGGTTGATGACATCACGGTCCCGTTTGTGTCTCTCCCTAGTCGTGGGCTGTCAGTCTCTCTGTGAAAAGTTCCCATATATTTATTTAGCGGCTCGATCAGCATGCTCCTCCTCTGCTACCAAGTTTTAAGGCGTGTACTTGATGCACTAGGTGACAAGGGGAGGTCACTGCTTACATGGTTCTTGAATGAATTCTGATCTGTGACAAATTGTTCTCTCGTGAACTTACAGGTTTGGGTACCTACTGTGGGATATTTACAAACCGCTGCTCATGGGTTGGATTATGACAAGTCTGTGTCCGCGATTTGGGTCATTTACAGGCTATTTTCCCGCGATTGGGGTTAGGTGACAAGTCGCTTCCCGCCAGTGGGGATTTATCGTCTCTCGCTCCGCGGTCGGCAGGTCAGCGGTGGTGGCTCGGCGCTGCTGCTTCTCTCTGTGAGCTGTCCCGGCCCTGGGCTGCATTACTGAATACAGTAACCGCAGGTTGGTTTGAAATAGACCAACACTATTCGTTAGAATTGTGTTTTTCTATTGAAAAACAACCGGAGCAGTCCTTCACCGGGCTATGTTTTCTATACTTGGCAGCGAATCGAGACATCTTGACCGGGTCCTAAACGAACGATCAGATTTTCATAAAAATTTCAGGGTATGGGCTCCTGTACTGAATAATGACCGTCTGTGCGGGCTGGGTTATTTGACAGACCGTCCTCGTACTTGGCAGGACAGCGGTGGTGGCTCGGTGCTGCTGCTCTCCGTCTGCTGCCCGGACCCCGGGTTACATTACTGACCGTCCTCCCGGGCTGGGTTATATGTCGCCAGGTCAGCGGCGGTGGCTCGGCGCTGCTGCTGTTCTCTGTCGGCTGCCCCGGCCCCGGGTGAGGTCACTGACCATGTCTCATGGGCGGGGTTATATGTCGCCAGGTCAGCGGCGATGGCTCGGCGCTGCTGCTGTTCTCTGTCGGCTGCCCCGGCCCCGGGTGAGGTCACTGACCATGTCTCATGGGCGGGGTTATATGTCGCCAGGTCAGCGGCGATGGCTCAGCGCTGCTGCTGCTCTCGGTCGGCTGTCCCGGCCCCGGGTTCCCGCCGCCAGACGCCGACCGACTCATCACACAACACTGTCTTCACACAGGTGAAAAAAACACTGCCCGTATGTACAGTCCACAGCAGAAGTAATGTGGGGTTTCAGTCATGGGTATGTTCTGATTCTGAAGCTTAGGAACGATTAGCCAGACTACAATGAAACTTTGAATGTAGCTTATATGTATCGTCACCCTTGCAGCTGCAACTTTAGCTATTGACATCTTCTTTTCGATCACTCCGCATCAAACAATCGCCAGTCAAAGCCAACCGTTGCGATTGGTAAAACCCTACATTACTTTAGCGGTGGGCTGTACAAGAGTAAAACCTGCAGCTTTGTCTCCCCACTGTTGTTTTACAGTAGATCTAACTCTGACAGCGTTACAGTATTTAGCATTGACTGTGGATTACAGTGGTGGTTTTGACACGGGCTATGCGTTACAGACTTGAGCCTGTTTGCCACAATATCTGATGCATCTGTCGACGTGTTACAGACCCCTCGGCGCTGGAGTCTGACCGGCAGCTGCTGCTGGCATTCCGCTCGCTGTCTGACCTGCTCTCCGGCCTGTCGGCGCTGGCAGAGGCAGAAAACGCCTCCAGCCGATGCCAAAGTGAGTGTGACAAACTAGGACGTACAGTCACCAGCAGTTGCTACCCATCACCCCCGGACGGCGGGGGAGCAAGCTACCACCGCCCCTGCGAGACTAGCGCCGCCATGCGCCAAGAAGTGGAAACACCACGTGACTGAGGCCACGTGAGGGCAGGGTCACGTGATAGAGGGGCGGAGCATAGTAGCTTTTGCGCCCGACACTAACTGAAATGCGGCGCTGTGATTGGGCGCCTTAGCATGAATGAAGCCCCGGCGCCAGAATCAGCCGTTCGCCTTATATGGAAAGTGAGCCTGTGCGTTTCACTGTTCTATATTGGTTTGAGAGCCACGGCACCATACGAATTGTGAGCCCCTTTGAACGGGTCACCGCCCGAGGCACTGAGGCGATGGCTGTGCCGAGCAAAGTCTAGCATGGTGGGAGAGGTGAGCCAGGAAAAGTGCGATCGAGCAGCCACTGGGACGTGGATTGGTATTATCCAACCGCGGCAAACGATGTCAGCAGCCTATTTTCGTGTCATAGACAGTGTCTATGACACGAAAAGCTAGACAGACAACGCGGGCAGTGCCCAATCAAAAGCTACTAAACGATTCAGTTAAGTTGGCGAGAAAACCAGACAAAATAAAAAGTTTTTAATTCCATTTTGGTTGACAAATGACATACAAGCCCGCTGTGATGGACCGAAAAAGGAGCTGAACAGTTCATACAACTTCTAAAAAGCTCAACGGTTTAAAAATTCAAAAGTTAAATGTTAAAATTCAGCCTGCATGTTTAAACTCTGGTCCGGCGCTGGCAGGAAGCTTAAACTGCCACTTGCAATTCCACTATGTTGTAATATAACCAAGAGTTCTGTGAGAGTAGCAACTGAAAGCCTCGAGCCCCGTTGAGGGGGGGGGGGGGGAGGACGGCGCGAAACGGCCCCCTCTCCTTTTCAGTCGATATCTCCTAAAGTATAGCAAATGTCGCCACCAAACTTCCAAGACCCCTCCGGGCATCATTTTTACACCTTGTGACCAAATTTTTCCAGAGCTCTTATGAAAGACCTAGTCACAAATGACGTCAGAGTGATGCCATGTTCTGTCATTTTCGACCCAAATAAAAGGTTTAGCAGGAACAGTTGTCACGGTTACAGTTTTGAAGATGACGAAAAATTTTCAAGATCAAAAAGATGTAAAATAAACAGCGCTACCAAACTGCTCTTATTTCTAATCAAAAGTTGATTTTTACCATCAAAATTATAGAAGTATAACACCCCGAAAATACCAACAACTTTTAAAATTAAAACTGGAATATATCTTATAGAACTATCTGCTCTTGATATGCCAAACTTAAACTCGATAGCTCCATTTTTAGCAAAGTTATGGCAAAAAATCTACTCTAAATTTGTTACGTAAAATTTTCAAATTCAATTTTTAGCCGTCACAGAACACACAGAGCAAGCCAAAGACCACCATTGGATTTCCTGTGGTGAGCTGCATCGAATAGATACCCCTTTTATGCAAAATATCAACTTTGAAATTTAACCTTCTTTGACCTGACCTTGACCTGTCCTCCACCAGAATGTAATCTAAGCTGGCCCCAATGGCTTTCTAGCCCACACCATTGAATTTTAAATGTAAAATTGGCCATAAAACATGTATCACACGACCCTAGCATAGTTGGGTTCATATTGTGACCCTTAGTGACCTGACCTCTGTGACCTGACCTGGCATCAGTGACCTCTTTAGGCAACATATGTATTAGACAACCAACGCTCCATCGATGTTTTTCGATAACATGCCTTTTTTATGTGTTAAGTGTTAACTGACTGTAACGCATTCCTTAGACTAAATCGGTGAAAAATGCGACCTTTGACCTGACTTGTGACGTCATGGGTTGCACCTAGGTCAACGAAACCTGGTAACAAGGTAGTTCCCTGGTGGGGCTATCGAACGCTCTTTGAATTTTCAGAATCGGTTGGTAAATTTCCGAGAGCTCAGGTGGAAGGCGAAACGGCTGCACCACCCGATCAGGTGGTAGGGTCCGCCAATAGCCCAAGGGGGCGCGGTTTATTTATTCACTCATACAGTGTCATTTATTTTGAGAACACCTTTCTCACGTAATGACATGGTCCTCTCGTAATAAATGTCGAGATGAGGAGAGTGTTTTAACGCCTCCTTATGCACGGCTCTAGTGTCATTGAGGCAGCTATCAACTGTCAGCGGTTTTCGGACAATGAAGTTCTTACTGAATCCAATTTGATTTCAAACGATTGTCACTGTGCTAGCTTTCTTCTTATACGTTTTTGAAAAAGCGCTGAAGAAGTCTTTGATAGACGAAACCGGTCCGCTTTTTCTTTTTCTAATTGTTTTTTGAATATATTCGTAGACTCTTTGCTACAAAATTTGAGAATGCTTGGTATTACTTTGACCCGAACGATGTGCAGCTGAATTTTGCCTCTTGAATGATTATGGACAGCTCGTGAAATTGACTTCAGCCTAAACTACCAACAAACAGAAGAAAAATCCGATACAAGCCTTCCTCAATCCTCTCACCTTATTCAACTGTTGAAACGTTAAAGGCATTTGTTCAGTCCGAGTCGCTATGTCGACCAACCGCGCCGTGCTGCAGCACATGCGCCGTGCTGCCCTCAGGTTTTTCGCGAATATCTCAAAAACGGCGACGCGTAGCGCCGTTGTTTTATATACACCTGTTCCGACATCTTTTTCGCACATCTTATGAAAATTTCAGAACCCGGTCATTCAAGGTCAGGTCACCAAGTGGCAAGTAACGTCAAGTGACCTTACCTCTGAAAAAGTTCGAAAGCTCGCTGTAGCATACACCGACTGAGCGATCACTTTGAAACTGTCAGTAATTGCTTAGGGTAACAGACTGACAGTATGTATAAAATTGATACCTCGGATTTTTTATGTCTGTGACCTAAGATCAGGTCAATTTTGCGACTGTTACATTAGGTGTAAGTCAATGGGAGAAAATTGAAATGCGCCTCTTTTGGACGAATTTCGTTCTACACCCTCTCAAACATCGGTCTATAGGTAAACATGACACACTGAATCGGAAAATTGCACCTGTGTGTGCCCCTGAGGTCATTTTAGGACATAAAAGGTCTTCAGCAGTTTTTTTTTTACTTTTGACAGAGACGTGCTAGAGCGGTAAAAACACCGTTGATCTTAGGTCAAATTTGAGGTCAATCAGAACGGTGCCCTCTAGAGGTTAAACCGTTGATCTGAGGTCAAATATGAGGACACGGTAGCGAAAGAGCGTTAAAAGAGCTATCGAATGCGCTTTTCCGCGGCGCTGTAGCTCTATTGGTTCCTGAGTTAGCCGTAGGGTGTTCAAAATCGTTGAAATCAACAAAATTTTACCTTTAATGAACCCTGGTGACCTGACCTTTGCCCTGACCTTAAACTGACGGAGTGTTTTCCTCCTTATTTTTAACGCTCTTTCGATTGCCGCATACCACGTGTCGCTACGTGGCCCAGGAGCCGAGTTAGACGGAGGGGTGTGAAACGCCCCCCCCCCCCCCCCCAGCACTCGACGGAAAGTTCATGCCACCAACACGGCGCGGGTTAATTGTTATGTTAGCTAGCTCCTGTTGTAAGCTGTGGAGTCGTGGCCCTGATCCTGAAGGAACTGGGCCTAACATTTTCATAGCAAACGTAAAAAATGTTTAATAGGTTGTGTAAAAAATGGCATCTCTTTTATGAAATATTTGCTAAACCCTCAACATCATCTCCATTCAGTAGCGGGGAACACCTTCAATTAAGGGGGGGGGGGGCACTGCCGACTTTTGGTCCCATTCTTTCCATGCAACGCCCATAGGGCTAATGTTAAAATGCCAAAATCAAAGGGGGCACGGTGCCCCGGTGCCCTCCCCGCTCCGCCGCCTATGTGACTATGTCCCCATTAGTGCCGAGCTCTCAACGACGATCATAAAAACGTCCCCATCCCGTCAGCGTGGGTGTATCATAAGGATGCTAAGGTTTAATTTCAAATCCGAAGCTGTAATGATGGAAAGCAAATTTACATTTTACTTGTGAAAGAAGCTGACACAACGAAATATTTCCTCTCTCGCTGCCTCTGACTGATTTACCCATTGTCCTCTTTCTCATTTTACCCTCTCTGGTTTTCCTTTTCTGTCTCTCTTTTCTCTTCTCCCGACTCCCGTCCTTATCCCTTCCCTCCAGTCTTTCTTAGCTCTCTCTCTCTCTCTCTCTCTCTCTCTCTCTCTCTCTCTCTCTCTCTCTCTCTCTCTCTCTCTCTCTCTCTCTCTCTCTCTCTCTCTCTCTCTCTCTCTCTCTCTCTCTCTCTCTCTCTCTCTCTCTCTCTCTCTCTCTCTCTCTCTCTCTCTCTCTCTCTCTCTCTCTCTCTCTCTCTCTCTCTCTCTCTCTCTCTCTCTCTCTCTCTCTCTCTCTCTCTCTCTCTCTCTCTCTCTCTCTCTCTCTCTCTCTCTCTCTCTCTCTCTCTCTCTCTCTCTCTCTCTCTCTCTCTCTCTCTCTCTCTCTCTCTCTCTCTCTCTCTCTCTCTCTCTCTCTCTCTCTCTCTCTCTCTCTCTCTCTCTCTCTCTCTCTCTCTCTCTCTCTCTCTCTCTCTCTCTCTCTCTCTCTCTCTCTCTCTCTCTCTCTCTCTCTCTTCTCTCTATCCCTCTCTCTCTCTCTCTCTTTCTCTTTATCCCGCTCTCTCTTTCTCTCTCTCTCTCTCTCTCTCTCTCTCTCTCTCTCTCTCTCTCTCTCTTTCCTCACAATATTATCGACTGCCACAGCGTTGTAGGACTTGTTTCCAGACAGGTCCAGGCGCTCCCCACTCCGCAGGCCCCAGCCCACACGGCCCAACCGCTCAAACACCCTCCGGCGGATGACCTCTGACCTCGGCGACCTGACCCCAGCCGACCGATCGCGTCCCTCTCCACGCCTCCGCCCCGCTCCCCCCCCCCCCCCCCCCCACTACAGCTGCGTAGTAATTGTAGCGTGTGCAAAGATCACGTGACATTATTTACTTCTGCGGTTTGTTCGGCTGACAAGAGATGGCACTAGCTTGGGCACTAGTGGTCTGTGGATCAGAGGCGGAGCTAGGTTCTACGTCTTCTTGGGGCACACTTTAGGGCAGAAAAGAGGTTTTTTTGGCTCCCCATCCCAAAATGCTTCGAATATACAGAAACAAGTTAGATATTCGAAAATCGGAGGACCAAACGGATCGTTTGACGTATCTTGCGTGACTGAGAATTGATCGGTCTTCAAACTACTGAACAAAAACGAGGTGATTAGTAGCAAGTGCTGGTGACTGTACCAGTTTTAGTGCAGGTCTGGTCCAATGGTGGCGCTTTTGACCTGTCATGTTAGTGACCAGTCTGTAGTATTTGCACGCTGATGGTCTGTACAATGTAACGTTCTGGCTTTGCCGGAGGCTGACGTTGCTGTACCTCCCCCGCCAGATGTCCGTCGTCAGTCCGACCCGGCCCCCGCACAGGTGAGAGAGCACGCCTCAGTCGGGGAGATGCGATCTGCGAGTTCACGGATATTGGTGCTGATTGCTACAGCTTGTCTCATGCTGACCCATTTTGTATGAATGGATAGGATCGTTTTACGTTTCGGAACATAAAGTATTGGTTCAGATTATTGGTTCACAGATTATTGGTTCACAGATTATTGGTTCACAGTTTATTGGTTCACAAGCTGTTTCACCGCTTTTGTAACGATTTATGCCAACGAAAGTAGAACTTGAGCTTAAAGGGACCCTCCCACCTTAACATTAGATTTGAGTTGAGATAGCCAAAATGGGGTCCCTGGCTCACAATTACCGGTTTCGGCACTCACAACATCGAGAAATGCCTTAAATCGGAAATATTGAATTTCAAAATTGCAGCATTTTGATTCAGAGGGGCTAATGCATAGGAATACCCCTCTGAATGTGTGACGTCAGCGCAGATATCTAACGATTTTTTAAATGTTTGACTAAAACGTTTGTAGCACGCGGTGGTACATGCTGCTTTGCGCGCAACAAGTGCCGCACTTTCAGCTGCCAAACTATTGCTTCCAAATAAAGTCGCTAGGAACAGCGGAGATCCAAAAAAGTAAACACAAGTAAAAGTCTAATATCTTGAAAACCGGTGAATATTTTTCGGTGAAATTTGGTAGATATTCGTTTTTGCTCTTTCTGAGCCGAGCGACATCACTTTCATGCCAATTCATAAACTTTTTTGAAGGTGGGAGGGTCCCTTTAATGAACGACACATATTGTGAAGACAATTTGTTAGTTCTAAGTTCTTTTCTGTCCATTAGCTTTTTAGACACCCAAAACCCCATTATACGTTATATTAGTCCGGCCACAAAACAACGCCATTACCGTGTATCGTCCTCAGTCCTACTGTTTTTTTTTTTTTCACCTCCGCAGCCGTGGTGGGAGCCTCAGAAGCGTGCGGACCGGCAGCCCCCGCGGGATCCGCCACATTTCGACACTCTGCTGGCACAGCTCAACACGGCGCTGCAGCAGCTCAAACCGCCCTTCAGGTACTTACTTCATGCCAATCTGCACTCCAACGTAATGTGCTTTATCGGGGCGTGTGTGTCTCACGACCATTTATTATTTAATTGTCATTTTTGTGGAAATTTTTAGCTCAATGGATATTGGTGTTAGGCCGGAACACAGCTTTATTGTAGCTGCTGGAGACGTTATGCTGCGTGTTGGTTTGTTGGTAGGTAGCACGTCCTGCTGGTGGTGTTTTGTTGAGTATTGTCTTGCCTTGTCAGTTTTTGAATGTGTAATGCTGATTGCTGGCAGACTGCAGCTGTTGGAGGCGCTCTACTGCGTGCTGTTTCTGAGCGCCTCGGACACCGACCGGTCCAGTGCGGACGACCAGCCGAGTCCACCCAGTCCCAGCGGCGGGGGAGGAGTGGCGGGCACCCGCGGCCTCCCCTGCGGCGGGGCGCGCCCGCTGCTGACGCTGTCAGCTCAGACGGCACTGTCGCAGCTGCTGAGGGAGCGGCTGACTGAGCTGACTGATACTCTGCTGACGGAGGGACCGGACGGAGCGCGACTGAGGCGGCGGCGGGACCGGTAGGTGGAGCTGAGAGGGTTGGCTGGGTCGGTAACGAACGGCGGTGCTGTGACTTCATTTATTCAGCTGAGCAGCATATGACAATGGATGCTCAGTTAGAGGTAACGTGCTGCTCAAAACGGTGACGTTCCGCCTTTTTCCGTCAGTGGCGATGGATAGATGGATCCATTTCGATGGACATTATGCACCGCCTTTTGCCGCATTTCTGCTCGCTGAGCGCTGATGATCTTATACACCTCTTCTTACTCTGTGACTGTACCGACTCTGTCGCCTCTGTCCGTCAGCGCGCTGTCTCTGGTGGAGCGGCACCGGCGCCGGCTGACGGCCGTGGAGCCGTTCACGGCCGACTGGCCGCTGTCCGCGCTGCTGAGAGCCCCGCCCGACACGCTGCTGGCCATGTGCTGGGCGCGCGGCTGGCTGCGGCACGCCGCGCTGCTGACTCAGGTGAGACATGCTCCATCTTTATTGTCACGGTGAGACACGTTTCATCTTTATTATCACAGGTGAGAAACATTCCATCTTAATGAGCTTAGATGAGACACCGCATTGACTCCGGTAAGCCACGCTGCCATGCAACATCGTTCTCTGCTGTGGGTATTACTACTGCAGGGACACGAAGCACGCAGAAACACATTGAAACTCGCTTGACATTGTCAAAGACTATGCTATTACAGAACACCTACGCTGGCAACTGTTGGAGCCATTTGCGGCTTTGGTTAACAACTCATTGCATTTACTTGGGGCACCACTAAAAAAAAACTGTCAACGTGAAGGGTACCGTGCAGCATATTACAGCATACGCCCTCACGTCATCGTTCTGCTGACGGCCAGCTCATTTTCTGCGGATTCTCTTTAGTGCACCAAGCTGCCTTCGCATTTAGCCCGTAGCCTTCGTCAAGCTCATCCACAATTCCCTGACTTAGAGTGAAGTCAGCGAATTCAGCCGCCCAACTTGTCTTAAGTGACAACACTATCTGCTGGCTGCACCGTTCACTTGAAGTCCATGATGGCATCGACTAGGTCCTGGAAGGCGTCCGTTTCCTCCGTGCTGGGGACGTACATCTCCATGGTGCCGTCCTTGTAGAGCCGCAGGCCGGGCATGGCGCGGTTGATAAGGTCACAGATCTGCTCCCGTAGCCGGGACGGGTTGCACCAGGCACACGGACAAAACTGGCAGACGTTGCACGCGCCTGGGGAGGGGAGGAGAGGGGTGGTCACTAGTTTGTTGTTGGGTCATGTTTTAGGCGTTTCAATGTCTGAGTATGTTCCGATGAAAGATAAGTACGCATACCTTAGGCTATAAAAAACACATTCCGAAACGAATATATATTACTGAACGGCTCTGGGAAAGAAAAATGGAAACCGAGGTCTTTAAAAAATTGTAGGCACGAGGCGTAGCCGAGTGCCGGAGATTTTTTGAAGACCGAGGTTTCCATTTTTCTTCCCAGAGCAAGTTCAGTAAGATATTTCCCATACGTCGTTTAATATCTATTCAGAAACTCACAATTTAATTATTGAAATCACCTTTTTTAAGATTTTTATCAAAAAATCACCAGAACTGTAGGTCATCAACCCGTGCCGGAAAACAGTGCAGGAAAGATCACGTGCAAATGTTTCCCGCACGGCTAGGATAATGCTAAAGGGATATCTCGGCGTATGGGAAACGTGTCAGTCAGTCGGGTTGCCGCTTTGCAAATGTACAGATTTCGTCTCCCCATATCGCCTACAGTTTACCTTTCCTATCTGTACCACCGCGAATAAATAAACATGCACGCATGCATTCGAATGTCAGAAAACTCGATATACTCATCGCACATGGATATCCGAACACAAATGCTCGTGACAACCGGACACTACAGCCCGCCTAGTTACCACAGAGCAGCCAGGCGACGACCATGACAGCCAGCACGGTGAACACGGGCCCGAGCACGGCCTTGAGCAGCAGCTTCAGCCCGGCCCAGTCGCCCTCCCCGAACGCCAGCAGCACGGCCGCGCAGCCGGCCCGGCCCACCAGCGTGCCGTAGCTGTCAGCCGATGCGTTGTAGTTGCGGTCGCAGTGAGGTTTCAGCTGCACCCACTGGCTCCAGAGGATAGCTCCCAGTCGCCGACCGGCCTCGGTGCGGTTCGGCGCGTACTCGGCGAATCTGTCGAAGGAGGAGGGTATGATGCTGAAGGATGGAAGGAAGCGTGCACCCTTTTCATTGTTGGAAGGATGACTAGAGTCTGAGTCGGATGCTGACATCTCGTCAGTGGCGGTTGGTCACAAGCCTGTTTTTGGGCCATTAGCAGTTGATTATAGACCGGGACCAGCGGCTGGGCGGCTCACCTCTGCAGCATGATGCCGCCGTTGGGGTTCAGCGTGGAGCCGGGCGTGGTGCTCTGCTCTGTGGTGGTCGGCGTCTCGGTCCCGTTAGTCGCCGCCGTCTGCTCGGTGGTGGGCGGCTCGTGGAAGTACTCGTACTGCCACTGGTAGTAGTCGTACACGTAGTCTCCGGTGACCTCGCCGCGCTCTGTCATCTCTGTGGATCCGCGCAGCGCCGCCTCGGTGGCCGGCTGCCTCCAGTGGACGGTCGGGCTGGCCGTGGAGGCGGGTGTGCTGGACGGCGGCTGCTCGGTGGGCAGCAGCTGGCGACGCAGCTGGTCCAGCCGCGCGGCAGCGTCGGCCGTGGCCTTGCTGAGGTCCACGCCGGCTGAGGTGAGGTTCCTCAGCACGCCCAGACCGACCCGGCGCAGCAGAGAGCCCCGCCGCCGCCGCGGGCCCGCCCGGCCGGCTGGCGTGTGGTGGTGGTGGCGGCGACGACGGCTGCCGCCCCGCCGGTGACGGCTGCCGTCCGGAGGGGACAGCCGGTACCCGCCCAGCCAGCGGCGGCGTCTGCCCGAGCTGGGTATCAGAGCCAGTGACCTGCGCACCCTCCGGGACCTCCGGTACGGGGTGGAGGGACCGGGACTGCTAGCATCCCACCACCGACTGAAGAGGCGCTCCGCTCCGCCGGTGGGTGTCCCGGTGTTGGATGGGTGACTCCGTCCATCGGTGCCGTGTTCCCTAAAACCACCCACAAAGGACTGTTACACACTTGGAGGAGATCAATTGTATTCATACTTGTTTTACCTAGACAACGCAAACAGCACGAACACAAGTCGGTAGAAAGCAACATTTGATAGATCATCACTGAGGAACTTAGGCACTATGAAATACAATAAAGAATGGACACTGGACGCTAAGAAAACAGCAAGCAGCCCACCAAGGCGCTCTATTAACTGGTTTAACGTTTCACTGGGGCATGGTGGCTTGCTCACATCAGGGGCACTCACAAATAGATCGACGAGGAGAGTTCCACAAACAAGTTAAGCACACCACTGGCACACGGCGTCCTGCTCACCTAAGGGACGTGTCACTGGCGGGATCACTGGACGATAGAGTCGGGCTGTTCCGGGGCTCTTGATCGATGTTCTGATCACTGGGGTATGCGAAATCATCATCACTTTGATCTGACAGCTTCCACTGTTCATTTTGATCAGCAGTCACTGGATTCTCGTACATTGGAATGGGGTCCAGAACATTATCTGCACTGGACTGTCGATGGTCATATTCACGGGAGTCGTCGCTTTGCTCGCTAGGGTCCCGATCACCGCTCTCACTTGGATGCTGATCGTTAGTCTCACTCGCCTCTTCATCGCCATGTTCACTTGACCCTGAATCATCGGTATCGCTGCCACCATGTTCCTTGCTCAATTCGGGAAAGAACACCTCAGCAATGGTCTGATAAATGTTCATCCAGTCGAACGGGCCAACGAAGTTCTCACTGGATGCGTCTCCAGTCCACTGCTCCACGAGGCTCCGCAGCAGGCCGTCCCAGCTCCACGGCTGTTCCTCGCCGTCACCGTCGGTGAAGTCGTCAAAGGCCTGTGCGCTGTCGGCGATCCACCGACCGACGGCGGTCCAGTTGATGCCGATGTTACCGACGATGGCGTCCTCCGCCGCGCCGCCGCCGTGCCGGTGGTCGGTGGTGAACCGGAGCACTGCCTCCCCGGCCCACCCGGCGCCCAGCCAGTCCCGCAGCGGGCCCAGGTCCAGGTGGCGGCGCACCCGCCGCCGGCCTCCCGTCCCCCGCTCCTCCAGAAACTGCTCCATCAGGTCCCAGAACACCCCGGCGGCGCGGCGCTCGTCCGCCTGGTCAGCGGCCGTGCGGACGGAGCCAGGAGGCGCAGTCACCCGCCGCCACAGCGTCTCGAACGCCTGGCGTGCGGCGCGCCGGACGGACGCCGGCTCAGAGCCGCCGGCCTCGGTCAGTCGCTGGCGGAGTTCAGCGCCGCCGTCCAGCAGCGCGCCGAAGAAACGGCTGAGAGGGCGCACGGCGTCGGCGTCGGCGGCGGCCTCAGCAGCCGTCGGAGGTGGGACTGGCTGGAGAAGGGAACCGTCTGGATGAAAACCGGGGTCGG